GGCGATCTATTGTTGGACGGTACAGCAATGGTAGTAAACCAGGTGAAGTCCTTCACCAAGTCTGTCCAGAGTCGGTTATTCGCGGATAAGCTTTCTGAGAAACCATCACATCGTGTGTACATGCAGTGTGGGGAACAGAATAGCAATCCAGCGGACTCCTTCGCCAGGAAGAAGTCACCTGGTCTTTATGTGAAACAGGGCTTTCTTTTGCTGCTCAGGACCAGTCACTTCCCATTCGCAATCGCCAAAATGTGATTCTTAAAGAAAATATTAACATGAAATGTAGACTTTGCAATCAATTCACAGAGACTGTCCAAAACCTTGTGAGTGGATGCCCTTCCTTGGCACAAACAGCATACCTTAAACGACATGATGGTATGGCTAGTTGCTGCTACTACCGTCTCCACCATGCCTGTGGCTTTCACTCCGAGGTGCATCCATGGTACGACTCTGAACATGTCCAGGGCGTCATGGAAAATGATGCTTTTAAACTTGGAATTGGCTCATGTACAGCAAACTTGATTTTGTCCTTTTTGATAAGGCCAATGAATATATTTATATCATTGAACTTTCTGTCCCTTTTGACAGCAAATATGATTGGAAAGATTCAGGAAAAGCATGCTAAATGTGCGGACCTCGCCCCTGAAATGTCTCGCTTGCACCCAAAGTACACTGTCGTCAGGCTCCCCATTGTTCTCGGTCCCCTTGGTTTGGTACCTCCTGATCTCTTGGCGCCCGGGTTCTCCAGCCCTCACAGCCCTTCTGACGCTGTGGGTAATGCAGAAGGAAGGCTGCAGGGTTGGGGAGCCTTCATATTCTCCAGAAAGTTATTGGTGAGTTTGACAAGACAGCGATTCCTGGGAGAAGTCCCATGTCCTGTCTGGGCTGAGTGTAGAGGGGGCAAGGGTCCTGAGCTGATGACGAGCCCTACCGGCATGACTGTGCCAGGATCACCCAAACGCTCTCTGCTGCATGTTCATCTAAATCTGTAAAACGTAATAAAGAATAAGCAAAGAAATCCATTTTGTTATTGAATTTTCTGTCCCTTTTGACAGTAATGTATTTGACGAGATTCAGGAGAAACATGGCAAATATGGCGACCTCGCTTGCACAACCTAAGTAGCAAGTTGATCAAGTCCCCATTGTTCTTGGTGTCTTAGGTTTCGTACCTGCTACCTCCCAACCTCTTGGCGGACATTGGGAGAATGGTTTGCTTCCAGGAACACCGCCAATTGGATACTCTGGGAAAAGTCTCGTCAGTTCCTTCCAATCCAAACCATTCTATGCTTATCAACAACCGACCCAGAGATTATTACGCAACAACATTTTGAACATCATACCTAATCCAAATAGGTGTTCAAATCACATTTAAGTTCAATTTCTGTTGTGTAAATGTGAACATTGTATTCAAAGATCATGGGTTTTGTCAAAGAATTGGATATGATAAGATGTACCAACCATCATAATAAATCAAACAACACAGAAAGAATACACAAACTATAATCACAATAGTGCTTGAACTGGTCATTATTTTTATTGTAATTTAACATTGTACGGAAATCAAAACAATGAGATCGAACAATTAATGCAAATGGCAGCAATACATGACAGGGTGTCATAAAAAGCTACTTTATTGTGTCAACCTGACAAATGAGTAAAAACGTCATTGTACACTTTTCTTCAATCAGGAATACCTGAGTTTCTTATTGTCCTCGTCGATATTTGAGTTTTGCTAATCATTTGTCGCAGAATCACCTCATGAAATGTAAACTAAAATCAAATATACTTATGAAAGTATCAAAATAAATTGAAGTCTGTGATTTTGGAAATATCACGCAAAACGTCAAACTTGTTATTACAAAAGATTCCTAAACAAAATCCATCACCCACACACCGCTCTCGAGGATCGTGTTGAACTCCTTCACGAAGTCAAGGAAGTTGTCGTATTGGTCAGGCAGCTCACGTACTTGTCCACAAGTGTGAGCAACTGGCCTCCTTGCCAGACCTGATAGTGTTGTGAAACGAATGTAGATTGGCTTTGGGTGACCATAACCATCTGTGATACACAAGTTGGCTCCAGTGCAGAACCTGAGAAACCGGGCGAGATAATCTTTCTCCAGTTCACGGACATATTTTCTGAGGAGCTCCGATGTACTTTTCTGTTGCAAGGACATGTCGTCTGGAAATGAGAGCATCTTCATCACTTTCCGATTGTTTGGCCTGAGGGAGTCATACAGTGAATCAAGAGATGTTCCTCCACGACTGAACCCCAACAAAGTCAGTTTATCGAACCATGCTCCCTTTACATACATTGGCTGCTGAACCATCTCCTTGTGAGCTATCTCGCCAATCAACCTCTTGAGAGTTTCTTTTGTGGACAGACCTCTACATTCATGGACACTGAGGACATCAATAACGTCCTCCTCCACAAAATCACCTTCCAAGGACGCCTTGAGTATGCCAGCCTCTGAACATGGAAGGAAGGAAAGGTATTCCGGTATAAGGGATTCTTCTGTTGTTGAAAATATATCCATGCCATAAATGCAACACGCCATAAAAGACTTTGCTATGCTCACGGGGAAGTAGTTCTGCCACTTCCATCCGAAATAGAGAATGGAAGCAAATGCCAGCCATTCATCACTGTCATAATCATGCCTTATAAATGGCACCTTACAAGCTCTTTCCACACAACACTGTTCAAAGAAAGAATCCTAGAACTCTACTAAAGCATCTCGCATGTCTTCGGCAACCTCTACTTCTCCATTTGGCAAAATCATTTGGAAATTGAAAATATCCTTATTTTGATTGAAAGTTTTTTCTTTGAATTTTTCTTTGAGTTCCTGGAAGACATGTCCTCTGTGTATACGTATGGTATGGGGGCTGACATTGGCTTGTGCTGTCTGGTGTTCAAGATCTGCAATGAAGTTGTCCAGGAGATCAATATCAACTGAATATGGTTCAACCTCAGAATGTAGAGGCAGGATATTTGGTAACTCATCGTTATCATCACTGTGGTCATCTGTGTTTCCTGCAGCTTGTGCCTGATGATCCTGCTGATCCCCCTGATTCTGTGGTTTAGAATTCCAGCACGGTGGCTGATGCTGTTGACCTGGTGGCTGATGCTGTTGACCTTGTTCCAACGTTTGTTGTCCTGGTTGATCTTGATCAGCTTCTCCCCAAGTTTGCGGTCTTGAATGGGTACTCTGGGCACAATGACCAGGAACAGGATCTTTGGTGGTGGTGTCTTGTACCTTCTTCATCGCCAAATAAAACCTCAGGTTGGTCAGTCGAGTAAGATCAGACATATCCTGAACAGTGACATCCTCATTCAGAATGACAAACTGATAGTCCATGACATTGAACTCATAATCAGTTTCGGGTCCAAATTTTATGGAATGTCCCTCTGCGAATAAGATCTTCTTAGCTTGAACTAGTTGACTGTTTCAGAACCGATATATTCCGAGTACCACCTCCTGATTTAGTTCGGACTTGAGTATACATCATTTTCTTTTCGTCGAATTTCATAAGCCCAGTCTCCACCTGTTTTGTCAGTTTGACAGCATTTCGACTTTGTGGACCTATATCTGTTAGGTCGTCACTTGTCGATGGTCGGTTCAGTTTGATGCGCAGACGATCAAATAAACTCTGCTTCCATTTGGAAATTTTCTTCTGAGAAGCCATCTCTGCTTGTTCAATCTGAAAAGACAATTTAGATTAAACACTGAAAGTTTATGTGACCCATGAAAACAGCCTGAATTGTAATGGTAAAATTGGATTCAATGACGTCGTTTCTCATTGTGCATACAAGGCTAATTATTGATTGTATTCATGAATGTTTTATTACTAGAGTGATACCAAAGTCGGCCATGCGATAACAATCACCTCGTCTGGTTCTATTTTGCCAGACGTATGTCACATATGTTCAATTGGTTCGATATATTTCACACTTGGACGGCATAAAAAAGCCTGCTCAAGATATGAGAAATACAAGTTGTCATGACGTTATTATTTAAAACAAAGCCCACTTTGGCATAGTTAGATGAGTTGTTTCCTAAATGCTTTAACATGGGCTTGTGGCAAACCGGTTTGCTTAGACGGGACGATCATAATAAACTCTATACCGCCTTTATACGTCCTGGGCTAAACACTCACATATATCTGTTAAATTATGATACGTGCCGGTACTTAGGAAATGAATTGCAAACACGGTTCTAACTGCAAAAAGAATATAAGGCTACCGTCTTATTCTAAAGTCAAATACTGCTAAAGGAAAACCTGTATTTAACATGTATCTTGTCCTGTATTTATGCATGTTGGGAACCGATCTTGTCACTGAAATTTATGAGAAAGAGAAACTTATGTTCACTGCATCTGCGCGAGTAGCATCTGTAGTTTCAGATCTGCCTGGACTAGCCATCCTTCCTATCGAAGAGACATTCCCCAAATGCTGAGCTACCACATGATTCGCATGGTCTTGAAATTTCAAGATGATTAATTTCAAATATATTTTCATGTCGCATGGTAAAACACATTATCTTGAAATTTCAACTTACTTATCTTGAAATTTCAACTTATTCATCTTGAAATTTCAACTTAGCATCTTGAAATTTCAACTAAGTATCTTGAAATTTCAACTTAGTATCTTGAAATTTCAATAAAAAATTAAAAAAACGCATGGCCCTAAAAGGCTTCCGTATGAATGTTCAACACACTAAGTTGAATTTTCAAGATGCTAAGTTGAATTTTTAACATAGAAAGTTGAATTTTCAAGATAGCAAGTTGAATTTTCAAGATAGTGAGTTGAATTTTCAACATAAAAGACGCTGAATAATAGCGTAGCGTGGCCCTAATAGGCATCCGTAGAGTGCGGCGTAAAACTATACTCACTCACTCTGATTATGAACAATGGTCTTGTCGCTTTTTTTCAATGCTGGAACGACAACACACTTTGTGAGGAACCATATGGCTTTGACAAGCCCATAGAATGCTAGTCTGTAATGCAGTTGCATATCTAAGTTAATATCTTATCGTGACAATGCAAATAAAACCAAGTGGGACAGAACGCCTTCCTTATAGAACCCAGACATAACGAGCTACTGACAGAAGATAGAACTACCAGCTAGACGACATGTTGCTACCCATTGTGCTCGCTCTCTGTACCCTTCCTTGTGTCAGAGGGTATACAGTGACCATTTACCCAGAGTATTTGGTACAGCGAGGAAGAACCAACTTCGACCCTGACAGGTGGAATGGTAAAATGGGCCTGGATAATCCCAGCACTATAGACAGCATGAAAAAAACGGGAGCCCGCACTGGAAGATGGCTGAATTCAGATTTAAGCTATTTTGACAAGGTACGTGTCTTCAGCCATACCATGGTAGTATTCACCCTGAGATAAGACAGGGCAGCGGGGTAGCTTAGTGGTTAAAGCGTTAGCCCGTCACGCCGAAGACCCGGGTTCAATTCCCCACATGGGTAGAATGTGTGAAGCCCATGTCTGGTGTCCCCCGCCGTGATAATAATATTAAGTGTATTTATAATGCGCTAAACTCCATTCACTAGGTGAATGCTCATAGCGTTAACAATCTGATTGATATGATTACGCCGGCTAACTCAAGCTGTCTGTGAGGCGCTAGAAGGTTAATAGTCCACCGGGTACCCATTTTCTGCTGGGTGAACTTAGGCAACAAACTCATTTGCCTAAGGTGAGGCCACATGTATCACATATGCTTCGTTGTGGGGACTTAAGTCCCAGAAACTCTCAGGAGCCAAACTGCCAAACACCGCCACCCATCTCAACGTTGCATAACTTCACCTGATTTGTGACCTGAGCTCTATGCACAGGGCCACACACAATATATATGATATTGCTGGAACATTGCTAAACACTTCGGAGTAAAACTAAAAACTCACTCACTGTGATAAGAAACCGTAATGACAGTGATTTTTCGGCCTGGTAAATTTACATTTCAAAACGGAAATGTTCTTTCTATCAATTAGCGTAGTCATACACTGAATCTACACTTTTGTTATTTCAATGTAGTTTCCCAGTATCATGTATATAAACTGTGTTAATGTTGGCATTTCGCATAGGTGACAGAAGATCCACACCGAAAAGGGTACCCGAATCCAGCGTTCTTCCAAAACAAGCAGCTTCAACACAATTTAGTTGAGAAATATCTCGACAATCTGAATAGATATGGAAAACAGAGACCAATCATGCTTGAACTGAAAGGTGGGTTAAGGAAGCTTACATATCTCATTGCTTTTACAAAATGTTTCTGATTTTTTTTTGGCTTCCACATCTAATTTTCCTCTGTGAACCCAAAATGGGTGTAATTCTTGAGAACCTGAGATCTTAGAAAGGTATTCACTTATTTACTACTAAGAGGTATAACTTTGCTTTTTTCTAATATGATGCAAGTTAACGAGACAAAAGCTTTATGACATAAGGAGGTTACACAATTCTGACCATGAACGTAAAGATAGGTTCATGAATCCCCTTATCAAACATGGGAATATAAAACAATAGTTATCATTGCTAATTACTTAAACAAAATTTTGTCTCTATTTCAAACGTGCTGCACTATAAATTCTTTTACAAAAAGTAATTTTCAGTGTAAACAATCAGTATTTACTAGAGCCACTGATAGCATATCTCATCCAAAGCCACTTGGGCATGGGCTAAACCACACTTCTTTCCAACATCTACAGCTTGATGCAGAATACCCGTAGATGAGTTGGATTACTGACTTATAATCTGACCTAAAAACCCACCTGTTCCTTAATTACTGACAGGTGTTTAACTTTGACTTAAGGGGCATATAAGTGGGTTACTATTTCTGATGTTATACGAACAATGATAACAACTGTTATATACTTCTGGCAACATAAAACTTCCTTTAGGTCAGTGCTAGAATGTATCGTTAGGGGCTGGTACGTTCTGGCATCTGGCTACCAAGATGATAGCATGATTAAAGCTGTCCGTCGTGCCCAAGTGTACTCTTCCAAAACCTTCCCAAGAGAGTCATTGAACAAATGAGGTGCTGCAGTCTGGCTTATCATCATCCTTTTGGTCTGATCTTTTAGGCAGTAAGTATCTACTACATCTGGATGGTGCGACTGAACCAATCATGCATTAGTCCTACCTGGTCCATTTGCATGGAAACTGGAGTTTAGCTAGGTATTTGGATATTCCTCTTGTGAAATAATATCATGATGATTTGTCAGACCCAAGTGGCACTGCCAACCCAAGGGACTCGGTATGTTTGTATTTGGTGATCTGACAAGCTTGTAAATCTTCATCTACAATGAATCCTACAAGGGGCATTCATGGATACTGTATGCTGAACGATTCCAAGACGGACGTGGTAACTTTTCTTTCATCGTTCAAATTCTTTCCATCCAAACACCTGATACTTCAACATCCTCAGGTGTCATGATGGCTGAACATAATTTGATAATCTAAACTGAGTACACTTGGACAGAACGGACAGTGCGTAACAGACAAGCCCGTTAACGCTCTGCAGCCTGAGGGAAAGCATTTAAGTTTCATTCTTGTCCAAAATGTGAGGTTTTCTGGCCGGCGAATAAGAAGCAAGTTTGAAAAGGAGATACTTATAGTGGCACAAATAATTATGGATAGTTGACAGTGAGAAAGATATATTTCTGTTGAAAATCTAAAGATGTTACAATGTGACAAGATTTATGGCCTGATGTAATATACATTTGTTTTGTATTCAGGAATATTTTGTATAAATCTGGCTAAAATGCACATAACACTAACTTTCATTAAAGGTCACATGCAACCAAAAAATCAAACATAATTAAAAACACAATTATCACTTATTCGTGACATATAATATACATTGCTGGTTATGAAAAAACATATAAACAAAATTATAAGCGTACAATCGCAAATCAAAAGTGCAATATTGTGTACCTCGGTTTACTTCCCAAGAAACGAAGCAGCCGGGATACCGAACACAGTCAGAGCGGGTGGGTGTGCACTCAAGTGTAACGGCTGGTTCATTTGCGTACGCCCTCACGGCTTATTGTGTGTGTATATGTAGAGATGTTGGGTTTTGTAAATACATGCTCATTTTTTGTGTATAACATTTTGCAATCAATAGACATCATAACATGTCAAGTGTTCAACTATCACACCTGCCTGTCTGTGTAATTACATAATGTGACAGAGACCGAACTCGGGCCATAAATCAATGCATTTTGTTTATGGTGTATAGCCTGATTGGTGTTAAGTTCAAATTGCATGAGGTCAGTGATCGCAGTTGTGTATTAAATATTGTCATTAGCAGACAGGCAGGCAGACACACAGGTGTCAATAAAACAAGACATTGAGTTTTGTCTGTGACAACGCTAAATAAATTGCTTTTAAGTATCGAACTGAGAAAGTGACTCGGTAAGAAGAACGTGTGGTGAAATTATATAAACAGTTAATTTACTGTCATAACATATAAAAAGCTCGCGCCTGTGAGGTATCAACAAAACATCAGTATCTCAGGGAATGAATTTCTTTACATAATCATGTTTTCCTGCCAAAGGTAACTTATGGCCTCACTGGATGGACAAATCTGCACATAAGGGTCACTTTCCAAGCAATCTTGATGCTGCTGCGGAAACCATATCTCTACACGTCCAGGCAATATACAACGGTTCTAACGGCGCAGTCCCTCCATATTTTGAACCAATCAATGAGCCAAACACACTGTGGAAGTTGGATGTCAATTGGACAACCGTAGTGACTGTATTCGAGCTTGTGGCCAAGAAGGTGAAAGCCATATATCCCCAAATAAAGATAGGCGGGCCTGCCTTTACTGGTGGAATAACCTATTTTGATAAACAGAACTTTCGTCAATGGAGCTGGATGACGCAATTCATGAACATGTCCCTTGGCCTATTGGACTTCTTTTCATTCCATCCTTTCAATCACTTTGTCGTCCAGGGGAACAGATATCGGTTTTATGGCCCAAATGAGGCTAGGCTAGTTGGGACGGTGGACATTGTGGAAACATATGCTAATATGATGACTGGAAAAGATGTTCCAATCATATTCTCCGCTCATGGTCTAGCAACGGTCACAGGCATCGATGTCCAGAAACCATCGACCCTCTTGGACTGGGCTTACATCAACCTTCACAACTCGAATATATTCACCTTTCTTGAGCTTCGGTACGTGGTGGACAGGGCTGTGTCCTTCCTTCTTAGTTACAGCAACAGGCAAGGCCAAGAAAGCATCAACTACAGTATCCTGGACAAGAATAAAAACGAGAGAGACATAGCTCTGGCCTTCCACCTGTGGGACAACATCACCAGCAGTATGAAGTTCCTCAGATCCGAGAGTCAGTTCCACCAGGCAGAGAGGCAGATACAGAGTCATGCCCTTGTGGAACCAAGTTCCAAAATGCTAACCGTTCTGCTACACAACTATGACACAGCCCAAGCTAAGGTCACACTGGCTTTTGACAAAGGATGGGTAAGGTTGACCCACGGGACATCAACCTGTCTGTACCTCAATAACAGGAGGGCCACTCAACTGGATAAGCAAGTACCTATTCATGTCAATGGAAATCAGGTGACTGTCCCTCCAGAATCTTCATGCTTCTTTCAGTTTCCCACAGGTCACACATTTTCTCATGTTCCCTTGGTCTATGAAAGTGTGCATTATGGAGACGACATGTTGGTTATAATAAACAGGAAAGCAGCTCACATGAACATCATGCTCCACAGCAGTGATCTTCATCACATTATGGTAGCAAAACTCCGCATTTCAGTAAGTTTCGTTGATCATTCTGCCAAGTATATTCCAGTTTCTGTAACTATGAATGGAGTAAATCTCCACTCGTACTACATTCTCCACAACCCAAGCAACAACGACACCGACAATCTCTGGGCAACAATAGAATATAATGTTCCACCGACCATCCTCAAGCAAAACGCCAATGCTGTTCAGATGCGCTTTGCTCAGGACCAAGGCCGGGTTGCTGCAATTGCTTTATCCCTGAGGAAAGGCCAATGAACTCCCTTGGATGCCATAATAACTGATTTCAGCCCATGATGAATGAGTTTCAATAAAATGTAAATAAAATTGTTGGCGACTTTCGGAAATCATGTATTATTATCGGTGGCAAAAGGTTATGCTTTAACATGTCACCTGCTCAACTCATACACAGGAAACTAATCACACTCACAGTGACAGTACACAGTGACAGTGTCACACAGGACACTAATTATACTGACACAGCAGCAGTGTCACACAGGACACTAATTATACTGACACAGTAGCAGTGTCACACAGGACACTAATTATACTGACACCGTGGCAGTGTCACACAGGACACTAATTATACTGACACAGTGGCAGTGTCACACAGGACACTAATTATACTGACACAGTGGCAGTGTCACACAGGACACTAATTATACTGACACAGTGGCAGTGTCACACAGGACACTAATTATACTGACACAGTGGCAGTGTCACACAGGACACTAATTATACTGACACAGTGGCAGTGTCACACAGGGCACTAATTATACTGACACAGTGGCAGTGTCACACAGGACACTAATTCAATAGGATTAATCTAATTTATAATTGATACAGTGGCGGTGCGGGCTGGCCATAGAACACTAATTATACCTTTGATTAATTATGGTAGCGGGCTCAACCAGGGTATTAATTATAAGCGATTAATTAATGGAGCAATACGGAAAGCACCAATCGGCGCTCTGATATTGCCGCATCATTCAATTTGTTATACCATTAAACGCGCCCGCATTTACCACCATACCATTGATGCGCGGCGCCCATAATATCGGTCATATGATAGCGTTAATCATCGCATCGATGATGCGCATCGGCCTGGCGCATACTCTTTTTACCGTTATATGCGCCCGCCACGTAAGTACGCATCACTTCCATGGACATGAAATAATGCGGTTCGAATATGTGCCAGCGTTCCATGGTAATAGCCCGTCCACGATACCGCCACATACGCCTTTACATCGATGAGTTCGACATGAAGCGGCGCGTTCAGCTGAAACACGCTAACGGCATCTTTGACACAGCTGCGTTCCGGTAATATCCACGATGCTGGAAAGCAGCGTTCCGCATTACCTGGTTTTCGCTGATACGAGCGTTAAAGCGCATTACCAATTATGGTTCTGGCGGCGAAAGCGTCATTAATAATAATGAGGCATTTAATACTACAAAGGGCGCGTTCAAAACGGAAAGTACCAACTTGCTCATCGCCACCAGCGTTCGAAAGTTCAATTATGTTCATTACAGCGTAAGTTCCGTATACGGCCCATACCTTATCGTTCGCTATGCCCAATATACGCCCCTGCGTTCGAATAATACCACCGCGAAGATGAAAAGCGCTCCATGGTAATACCACCCGGACATGCCGCATTGTTAATACCATCATTTTGATGATTGCTGCGCCCACGAGTACACCATGATATGGCGCAGCGCCCATGGCATACCATATACGAAGAAAAAGCGTCATGGTTCTTTAATGTCGCCCGGTCGGCGAAATGGCAGCCCACTATGTTCTGATGGTGCCGCAGCAACAGTGGCAGTGTCACAGGACACTAATTATACTGACACAGTGGCAGTGTCACACAGGACACTAATTATACTGACACAGTGGCAGTGTCACACAGGACACTAATTATACTGACACAGTGGTAGTGTCACACAGGACACTAATTATACTGACACAGTGGTAGTGTCTCACAGGACACTAATTATACTGACACAGTGGCAGTGTCTCACAGGACACTAATTATACTGACACAGTGGCAGTGTCACACAGGACACTAATTATACTGACAGAGTGGCACAGTGTCACACAGGACACTAATTACACTGACGTGCAACCCCCCTTTAATCATCATCCGTTTCCAAAAAGGTTTAGGTGACTAAATAATTCTGCATCTCCTATAAATAGATAAGAAAGTTAAAAGCGTATATATAACGTCATTTACCCATTCTTGACTATCCTCAAAAACAGATCCCAACCAGTGTCAAAATAGCCGTGAGAACCACATGAATGGACCACTGAAAAGCAGTGATGGTTCCAAGTGTCCGCTCAGAAGGGTAAGCATATCCGGTGTTTCCGGTAGCACCCGTCATTCACACAATCTGCTGAAAAGGTAACATCTTAACTGCCGGACGAAGAAAATAATGACTCTTTTTCTATTGAATCCACTAGAAGAGATGCCCTAGATGCTGGGCTTCTTCAAGCTTGTACAACGTAGTTTTAGTACAGGGTGTGATATTTGATATTAATTGTCGAATAAGCTGGTTTTATTATCGATAAGGTTAGTCATAGTAAAGTACTTTGAAATACTTGTTCATACAGTTATTTTTGGTCATTCTTTCGCACAGACTTCTCGCAATCAGGTGGCCTCTGTTTCCATGCATTGTGTGCCATGTGGTAACTCGATGTAAAACTTAAAGCCTGTAATCCCTATGCAGAGAATGACCAAATAGAAACTGGTGCAGAAACAATATCCAAATGTTGTAATTGTGAACGAAACCACAGAGCTGCCTACAAGGGATGGAAGAAATACAAGGCGGCAGTGTCAATGGTAAGAGTAGAGTACAAACCGTCTTGTGCTGAAGAAGATCACGTTAGAAGGTTCACTCTGACTCATCCTACACTACTTCCATACGGTTCAAGTCTTTCCTTTGTGTATTTCCTCTAGCTCTGACTCAAAACCTATCTCTGTATGCAAATAGCCGTCCCGAGTGTCAGATTAAAACCAGGGTAAATCAGATCCACCTGTTACAGCTAAAACTCAACACTCCATAAGTGGCCAGGGTCATCCATGAGTCTTACCATCAAACTTTTCAGGCGTTCATTTGACCTGTATGCTGCATGCTTTAACGCATCTACCAATAAAGATCGGATCAAACGCCTTGTCTCAGCGGGAAAAATCATTGATGTTCCTGGGATATATTCAGTGTGCTTAACTGCTTAGGCAGAGTAATGGATAAAGTTTTTCGTATGTATCCTTTCAAATACAGATCAGTTTTAAATGCTGTCTCAAACTTTTAAACTGCACAGTCAAACTGATCCGACAACACGATCATTGTGTTGGAATGCCAGAATATTTGTGAGCATAATCCAAACATAAATAAAAAGTTTTTAAATAATACCATTATGTACGTCATAGGCATCTTTTATCTAAATTATAGTTATAATATCCCAAATGAGTTGGTGTCATGCAACAGTGTGGATGACAACCTTCTTATTTTCACCCAATAAACCATTGTAGAGGATGCGGCTGGTGGGTCTGAATGAACTCATCTTCTTTCGAACACTTGGACTTTGATTCGTCACTATTTGATGGGGATTCATACATGTTCATGGTTGGTACAATGGACTCTGGAATTAGTGGAGATTTCCAATGATTATGTGAAATAATAATAATAACTTTGGATATATATAGCGCTAGTATCCAGTGATCACTGCTCAAAAGCGCTTCTAGGAGCTCTACATTGACTGGTGTCTATTCAAACACATCTCTCGTGAACATATATGTCTTAAGATGTTTTTGGAAAGTGGCAACATCTTGAATGTTTCTAATGTCAGTGGGGAGGCTGTTCCACAGATTAGGTGCAGCTGGTCTTGTCGCTTTTATTTCAGTACTGGAACTACAATGTTTTTTGTAAGGAATTGTACAGTAATTTCCTTCTTCTTAAAGGGTTGTACTTTTAATGTGCAGTATCTGTTAGGTATTTTCATCTTCCAAATATAATTCCAACCTCACACTTATAATATTATTAGGTTCTGCAAAAGAAGACGTCGTTATCGTGTGGGAATTACATATTTAGAATCATATGGCTTTAACAAGCCCATGGAATGCTGTCTGTGATTCATTTGTATAACAAGTGAATATCTTATCGTGATAATGCAAATGTTCTGAACTTAAACCCAATTGGGACAGAACGGCTTCCTTATAGAACCCAGGACATAACAAGCTGCTGGCACCAGAAGATAGAACTACCAGCTAGACGAACATGTTGCTACCCATTGTGCTCGCTCTCTGTACCTTTCCTTGTGTCAGGGGGTATACAGTGACCATTTACCCAGAGTACCTCGTACAAGGAGGAAAAACCAACTTCGACCCCGACAGGTGGAATGGTAAAATGGGCCTGGACAATCACTACACTTTAGACAACGTGAAGAAAACCGGAGCCCGCACTGGAAGATGGATAACTTCAGACTTAAACTATTTTGACAAGGTATGTGTGTTCGACTATATCCTAGAAGTGAGTGTTTCACCTGGAAAATATATATTTTCTAAATGCAAAACTTGAGCGTGAATATTTCTATCAATGAACCTACTCAAGCACTGAATTTAATGTTTTGTTATATAGATATCGTTTCCCAGAGGTTTTGGCTTTAAACTGTGTTAAAGTTGACGTTTCTCATAGGTGACGGAGGATCCAAACCGAAAGGGGTACCCGGATCCCGCATTCTTCCAAAACAAGCAGTTTCAACACAATTTAGTTGAGAAATATATCTACAATTTGAATACATATGGAAAACAGAGACCAATTATGCTGGAACTTAGCGGTAGGTGAAGAGAGCTCGCATGTCTCCTTGTTTTTACCAATGGGTTTGATGTACTTGGCTTCCACAACTGGTATTCAACAGGGCGGTGGGGTAGCCTAGTGGTTAAAGCGTCAACTCATAACGCTGAAGACCTGGGTTTGATTTCCCAATTCGGTACAATATGTAAAGCCCATTTCTGCTGTCCCCGACTGTGATATTGCTGGAATGTTGCTAAAAGTGGCGCAAAAGCATACTCACTGACTCACTCACTCAATCAATCACTGGTATTTATCTGTTTACCAAAATTGAGTGTAAATCATGAGATCCACTCATATACTACCAAGGGGCACAGCTTTGCTTTTTGCCAATATGATGCAAATAGTAGAGACAAAACCTTTCCAACCGATATAAGATTTTACAATTCTGTCCATGTCGTAAAGTTCACGAATCACCTTAACAGACATGAGATCATTAAATAATTAGTTTTGACAGAGAAGAGGATTTCTGTTGAAAATCTAAAGATGTTACAATGTGATGGCAGTCAAAATGCAAACTTTATAGCACTGATCCTACAGATGTTTAGTGTTCAGGAAGATTAAAAAAATGCACGGGATAACTTTCATCAAGATTCATCAGTATCTCAGCAAATGAATTTCTTTACATATGCATCATATTTCTTATATAGGAACTTTATGGCCTCACTGGATGGACAAATCTGCACATAAGGGCCATTTTCCAAATAATCTTGATGCTGTAGCGGAAACCATATCTCTGCACGTCCAGGCAATATACAACGGTTCTAACGGCGCAGTCCCTCCATATTTTGAACCAATCAATGAGCCAAACACACTGTGGAAGTTGGATGTCAATTGGACAACTGTCGTTACTGCATTCGAGCTTGTGGCCAAGAAGGTGAAAGCCATATATCCCCAAATAAAGATAGGCGGGCCTGCCCTTACTGCTGGAATAACCTATATGGATAAACAGAACTTTAGTCAATGGAGCCGGATAACACAATTCATGAACATGTCCCTTGGCCTATTGGACTTCTTTTCATTCCATCCTTTCAATCACTTCGTCGTCCAGGGGAACAGATATCACTTTTATGGCCCAAATGAGGCTAGGCTGGTTGGGACGGTGGACATTGTGGAAACATATGCTCATATGATGACTGGGAAGGATATTCCAATCATATTCTCAGCTCATGGTCTAGCAACGGTCACAGGCATCGATGTCCAGAAACCATCGACCCTCTTGGACTGGGCCTACATCAACCTTCACAACTCGAATATATTCACCTTTCTTGAGCTTCGATATGTGGTGGACAGGGCTGTGTCCTTCCTTCTCAGTTACACCGACAGGAAAGGCCAAGCAAGCATCAACTACAGTATCCTGGACAAGAATAAAAACGAGAGAGACATAGCTCTGGCCTTCCACCTGTGGGACAACATCACCAGCAGTATGAAGTTCCTCAGATCCGAGAGTCAGTTCCACCAGGCAGAGAGGCAGATACAGAGTCATGTCCTTGTGGAACCAAGTTCCAAAATGCTGACCGTTCTGCTACACAACTATGACACAGCTCAAGCTAAGGTCACACTGGCTTTTGACAAAGGATGGGTAAAGTTGACCCACGGGACATCAACCTGTCTGTACCTCAATAACAGGAGGGCCACTCAACTGGATAAGCAAGTACCTATTCATGTCAATGGAAATCAGGTGACTGTCCCTCCAGAATCCTCATGCTTCCTACAGTTCCCCACAGGTCACACATTTTCTCATGTTCCCTTGGTCTACGAAAGTGTGCATTATGGAGACGACATGTTGGTTATAATAAACAGGAAAGCAGCTCACATGAACATCATGCTCCACAGCAGTGATCTTCATCACATTGCGGCAGCGAAACTTCGCATTTCAGTAAGTTTCGCTGATCATTCTGCCAAGTATATTCCAGTTTCAGTGACTGTGAATGGAGTAAATCTCCACTCGTACTACATTCTCCACAACCCGAGCAACAACGACACCGACAATCTCTGGGCAACGATAGAATATCATGTTCCACCGACCATCCTCAAGCAAAACGCCAATGCTGTCCAGATGCGCTTTGCTCAGGACCAAGGCCAGGTCGCTGCAATTGCTCTAACACTGAGGAAAGGCCAATGAACTCCCTTCGGATGCCATAATATCCGATATCAAACAAAGTAAACCAGTTTCAATAAAATGTAAATATAAGTGTTGGTGACTTATTGTCAGTCTGTTTTGGAAATCATGTACGGTGGCAAAACCTTGTTTTAACAAGTCACTGACTAACTGTGAATTCCTACACAGGATACTAACTATACTGACATGCAGCTTACCTTAATAGAGTTCATTTACTCTGATGCACTGCCATCAGAGATTCAACGTCATCACCCCTATCCAAAGCTGTTTCTATTTTCCATTAATTATAAAATCGCTGAAAACGGGGCGCCAAAAGTAAGGTTAACAAACTATGTGACCAAACAATGCAGTATGGTGTTCATTATCCAGCATTTGGGCCACATACTGTAGTAAGGTGTCCTTGATCCAGCACCTGTCGAGTGTTGTTGCAATGTCTCCAAATAACATACTAGTACCTAACGGTCACCAGCCCACTCTTATTAACACTCGGATAATGCAGCTCAGTGATCGGTGTGTTTGTTAGACACTTTAAGTTACATTTCATATTTATGTCAAAGCGTGAAGTTCTTGCCTGCGTTTGTTTTGAGATTCAGATGTGGAGGTGTTGAAGACACACGTTCAGTGTTAGCGTGAAAAACAACTGGTAATGAGAAAGTTGGCAATCACACTCATTCTACAGTTTTTATTGTTCACAACGAAGCTTGCAACTGTCATTGATATGAATAATTTCATAGTTCTGTTAATACAGTCCGACAAACCCTTATTTTCAGATACACATGCACATTGCAAATTTTATATTTTCTCAAAAGCAACGGAACTGTTTAAATGAGTTTAAACATCTTTATGGTATATATACGGAACACCTCGGGACAAGCCTAATGGCTACCGAAAAATAATGTGAGAAATATTTGATGACAGTATCTATTCTTCGTAGGTGTCAATACTCCAGCTGCATGTTTTTCAACTTGACTTGTGAACATTACAATCACATTCATTTCTTGTACTTGATGTCAATAGTTTTTCGGTGTTACTCAAGTAAACTACCCGTGAAAATCCTGGTTAGAATTGGTCTTCAGCAACCCATGCTTGTCGTACGAGGCGACTAACGGGATCGGGTGGACAGGCTCGTTGACTTGGTTGGCACATGTCATCGTATCCCAATTGCGTAGATCGATGCAAATGATGTTGATCACTGGATTGTCTGGTCCCTACTTAATTATTTACAGGCCACCGACATATAGCGGGAATATTGCTGAGAGAGGTGTTAAACAACAAAGAAATAAGCAAAACAAAACACACATACATATCACACAGTCATAATTACATGTCACTCCCTGTCCTGCCTCCTACTTGACGTCCGACATACATTTATCATGTTGTGGACCGCCTCCGTGGTGTAGTGGTTAGAGTGTCCGCCCGGAGAGTGGAAGGTCGCGGGTTCGATCCCCGACCCCGTCAAAACAAAAGACGTTAAAATATGGTACTTGTTGGTCCCTGCCTGGTGCTCGGTATTAATGGGTACAACAAGGACTGGTCGGCTCGGAGTCAGTATAATGTGTCTGAGTCGGGTATTCATGCTTCACTGCGGCATGGTATCTCAGTGGGCTAGCACTATAAAACCAGCTTCAGTCTGGGCTAGTACAAGCAGCCGCACATACACATACACACGCATGCACGTTGTCATATGAGCGAAATATTCTCAAGCACGACGTAAAACCAAATTTCACCTCACCTCACCTTTATCATGTTGTTGTGTGAATTGAAGTAAACACAATACATACATCGGTACGGACGTCACCAGGTAACTATGCGGCCAAATGTTCCTTAAGGGAAATATTTGAAGAGGACGACAAGGATGTAGGCTGGTTATTCTGTAACTCAAGCAAACGATTCTGCCATAGTATTAATTTCGCAGGGAATATGTATTTTTATCATTATGACTCTTGTAAATATATCACTATGTACGTCGTATGATGAAAACACAACAGCAAATCTCCAGTCACATTAAAATGCATTTATTTCAGGCAAGATATGTGTACAGCAAAACCTCGTGAACTCGAACTTCTTTCGATCACTAAAATCATCCAGTTACCCGAATATCTATTAAAGATCAATGACATATTATCGATACCTGAAGAACATATATTTTATTTGTTTTTCATCTTAAGCAATAAATCAAGTCTTGAAGTTTGAATTAACGAAGTTTCATTGTATAAGACTGAAAAGGTTCAAAATAGATATCAAGTAAAAAAATATGTACATCTATCATATAGCATCACCATTTCAATACGTACCCAAGGTAACTACATAATGTAGGATCATTACAATTTCAACTGCAACCACAAAGTCACTTAAACAGCAATACACTTTACTAAAGTACACTTGAAAGAACTATTCATTGAGAGCGTGATTAATCCGCTTTTCACAAAAAAGCCTTCATAAAAATCGGTGCTAGGCTCACTGTATAAATAGGTATCCGAAGTCTGTAGATTTGCTAAATAATGCCCACCTGGAGAAAAACACACCAAATACACAATACAAACAAGTGCATTATAACTTGCCGTAATAGAAAATAGGAGGCTACCCAATAACCAATAAATACATGTAGGTATCACAGACAACAACATATTGCATTCACGAAACGACTTTTGATTTTCTCAGATAGTTATATCTGTGTAAAAGCCTATCGGGAATATGCTTCACTGGGTGCATTTCAACTGTACTTTTGATATATATGCGCAATACAAATAGATAAAACTATTCTTCAGACAAAAAATGTCATGAAATGCTAACAGATGAAATGTGCCAATATGTACATATTATATATTTCCATATCCTTCCCGATCCAGTGTATATATTACCATATTCTGCGAGAGCCAATAATTGTTTTACGTATAAACAGCACCTAGAGAATATCTTTCTGTATAAAACTGAGAATAAAAACTTGTAAACGTCGAACAGACATCTTCACAGATCTTTTGTAAACATGCATTACAAAGCGTCACAGCCATGGGATAACGATTCTCGATTATATGTCTCAACCGATTCCTCTATTTTCATTTAGTAACGGATGTTTGAAACACATCAAATTAGAAATGTTTTTACTGTCCCGAGAATAGTGGTACCACACACCACGCATGCGTCAACTTCTTCTGCGCAGTCGGAGCACGTGACGAGATGACCACAGGGCAGGAAGAGGGTTGACACGGCCTTTATTCTGCACTTTCTGCAAGTAGACTGCTCCTTCAAACGCCTGTTTTCAGCTTTTATGGATATCAGGTTATTCTTTGGAGACTTAGCAACCGTTGGTTCTTCTTTCCCGTCTTGAGATGTGGTGGGAACCTTTGAGCCTTGAGCCTCCTGTTTTCTTGCACTAGAAATGGTTGCTGGAACAGGATCACCTTCTGAGAGACCGCCATCTTTACATTGCTGTACTGTTAGAGCCCCTAATCGCTCACAAAGAGAGGAGAACGGTCTTGCATTTTGATCGTCCTCACGAGCCTCGCTTGGAACATCCATGCCCTGCGGAGGTGCGCATGCTCCTCCACCAAGGTGAAGGTCATTGTTGGCTTCTTGGATTTCTCCACCATCTGGTTTCGGTGTTGAGACTGATACTTGGTTAATCTCCTCTCTATCTGTTTCAGAGGTGACCATGGCATCTCCCACGGCCTTAGTGCAAGACGCGGATGTATTTACGAGAGAACCGTTTCTTCTTTTGACAACCCCAAGCTGATCTACAGTGACTTTGTTGATGAACTGACAGTGTTCCGAGTATCTCTGATGCTCTGCCACAGGGTCATGTTCTTCCTCCCAGTCTCTCAGAGTTATCCCGCACTGGAAACACGTGACCCGGTCAGCTGACCCGATGTAAAAGAACCCGGCTGATGCCAGCTGCTCGGGTGTTTTCGGGACATACCGTATAGGCCAGGCAACAAATGACTCAACTCGGGAGCTGTATGTTTTGTACTTTGGGTGTTTGGGTGTATTCGAACTCCGTTTATTTGTCCGATCATATTCCATGAAGTTCTTCAGTGGATACATGCATTGCCTGGCGGACAAAACCTGCAACATTTAAAAAAGTCTGTTTGGTTATTCACATATATATGGCCAAAAAATAGATTGGTCGTGATTAATTGCCCACGAAGTCGAAAAAATATTCATTTGTATTGTTTTGACATATTCTTAAATGATTTTTATAAGAATAGACAAGTACAGGGACTAAATACGTGTTTCTCTACGGAAGTAAACCAAAAGAACACCACAGCATGTTGACGACAACTAACCTAATACCATCACTTTTTTAATAAACGTGACCCCTGAAGATACGGGTTAGAATTGATCTTCAGTTACCCATGCTTGTCGTAAGAGGTGACTAAGGGGATCGGGTGGTTAGGCGCGCTAACTTCGTTGACACACTTCGTATCCCAATTGCGTGGAACGATGCTCATGATGTTGATCACTGGATTGTCTGGTCTAGATTCAATTATTTATAGACCGCCGCCATATAGCTGGAATATTGCTGAGTGCGGCGTAAAACTAAACTCACTCACAGCACTGTCAAAACTCCTATTTATAACATGTGCATGTTATTTATGCACCATGTATTTGAAGCATTCGATCGCTGTTATATTCGACTCTGATAACCCCATGCAGTTGAAGTACAGTAACCATGATTGTACAGTTTTCGGATGCAGCCAGCAACAGAACAAGTACAGTAGCAAGCCATGTTTTTCGTGTAAGCCCGACATGTTGGAAATCTTTACATTTAGATAGTATTGAGGGCTTGCCCAACCTTTTTAGCAACAATCGTGTGTAAGCCCGGCTTTTGTATATAATGGTAGCTACGCCTTGCAAGATGCTGTGAAAGTAGGGCGTTTATTCATCTAATCTCCATACTCCAACCTCGTTCAGAAACTGGTGATACTGATGTTAAGTATTGCGTGACGTCATTTGTGCGATATTTTGTTTCTATTAATAGACCCAGCGAATTCTCTTGATTAACTTGGTTGTATACGTTGCCACATCATTTACCTTTTTCTAATATTTACAAAAATTCCGCAAAGTATGCTTTATAAAAATACCATTAGCTCATCGTTAAGGTACTCTGTCTTTGTTTGTGGTAATTATATAGTGTGAAATGCAGAGTGTCACTCTGAGTGTTTTCAATAGATATTTGTCTTTCATATTTGTCTGGCCTGTGGAAATTTGGGCATAGATTTCCGTACAATTATAAATAATGACTGACATGGATATTAGGTTTTGCTTTTCAACGTAAATTCAAAATGTCAACGAATACCGAAACAACAAATTCCATTTGTCATAAAAGGCAAAATTGTCTGAATGAATACTAAAAATCAGTGATGACACTACTGTTCACAGATAGGGTTAACACGACCTGCACTTCCGGTAGGACCTGTCTCTCTCACTGAAGTTTTAGTTGTCCTATGTCGCATCCAGTAGTCTACCTGCCATTCGAGGGCTGAACATCACTAACCGGGTCAGGGCAGACAATCTAGAGTGAGTGAGTATGATTTAACGCCGCTTTTAGCAATTTTTCTGCAATATCACAGACACCAGAAATGGGCTTCGAACCGAACCCGGACCTTTGGAGTGACGAGCGGACGCTTTAACCACTAGGCTACCCTTCCGTCCAAGACAATCTAGAAAAAGTGAGTCTCGGCTAGACAATCCTGTTAAAGTGAGTGTGGACAGACAATCCTGTGACACAATAGCGTGTATAGTTTAACAATATGTTCACTTTTATGCGTTCACTTTTATACGCATTTCTTCACTGTACGCTGCAGAAATATATCAAATAAAAATAATAAACATAAGAAAAGTTGGTATGATGGTTTTCCTCATTTATGTAAGAGAACATACAAGGTACTGCATCCTGAGCAAGGAAGGAAGGGGTAATAATGGATAAATTGTGCACTCTCCAGCTACAGAGCTGGGCCTAGATTTTCGAAGCTCTCTTAGCGCTAAGATAGTCGTAAGTGCCATACATTAACATTAACTTACGACTATCTTAGCGCTAAGAGAGCTTCGAAAATCTAGGTCCTGGGTCCCGGTCCACAAAGCGTTCGTAGCGCTAAGATGATCATAACTCCCATGTTTTAACATAGACTTACGACTGTTGTAGCGCTACGATCGCTTTATGGATGGGGACCCTGGCGACCTTCCCACCTGCCTGGGTCACTACTCTGACACTATTCTGACACACTGTAGACTGACCCACCTACAGTTGCACCTCCGTCTGCTTCGTCTCTGGGCCCACTGTACACCAAGTGAACAAACCTTGGTGACATTCAGTCAAGTGAACACACCTTGGTGACATTCATCCATGCGGGTATTCCTCCAGATGGCTGTTGTGGGATCTTCACGTAGCTGGCGACCTACACCATATGCAAGTGGAAGACCCGGATGATAGTCATCAATTATGACTAGTATGCTTCCCTGTTGGATGAAGTAACCGCTAAATATGACTCTGAACGTATTTTAACAAAGATTAAACTCTTTTTGTGAGACAGTCGACAATTGTGAATTATAATTCTTCATGCATTTTAAAGAACATGGCTTGTTGTCAGTACTTCTTCGTGCGGCGAAAAGCCTCTCTCTCCCTCCCTCTCTCTCCCTCTCTCTCTCTCTCTCCCTCTCTCCGTCCCTCTCCCTCTCTCCGTCCCTCTATCACCCTCTCCATCACTCTATTCCCCCCTTTCACTCTGCTTCCCTCCCTCTCTCTCTCTCTATATCACCCTCACTCTCTATTCACGCTCTCTGCTTCCTCGCTCGTTTATCGCCACCATACAGCTGAAATAGTGCTGAGAACGGTGTTGAAGAACACAAATCACAATAAGATAGAAAGATAAGACAATGTTGTCGAGTAGTTACGTCAACAGCCACTATATACAGTCGTGAATTACGTTGATCATTCGAACAACGCATACAGAACAGAAAAATAACCATCTGAATTGTCAACAGGTATGGATGCTAAAGGTAATAAGTTTTTAACGCAGCATCAATATGCACAAATTGAAAACTGATTAAAACATATCATTCTATTTAAACGAATATATAATCTTGTGCATGCGTTGTCTCGCCTGGGTGAACCCTCTTACACTGACCATGCCACATTCATTATATTATACACGAGGAAGAAAAATCATACCATGAGTAAACGAAAACACGCATCATAGAGAAACAACAAGTGAATTGAACTTTAAATAGGTATTGGATTTACAGACTTTTAAATCATACCATGAGTAAACGAAGACACGCATCATAGAGAAACAACAAGTGAATTGAACTTTTAAAGGGTATTTGATTTGTTTACCTTGAAAGTTCAGGACACAAGCAATATGAGTACATGGTTTATTTGTTTGTTTGTTGTTTAACGCCGCACTTGGCAATAATCACGACAGTCTGTAAATACTAGTAATCGAATCGTGACATCATGGTGATCGATCTACGTTGTTGGGATACGATGACATGCATCAACCTGACCTATCCTGTCAGTCACCTGTTATGACAAGCAGGTGTTGCTGGAGGCCACGTCATGAGATTTCAGAGACGTTTTTCACATCCAAATCACAAAACTGGCAAATATCGAGAACGAGATAAGATTCGTTTCATCACAGTATCTGGATTACCAAGCAAGTCAAATACGTTATCCAATTTTCAGAGAAATATTCAAGACCTTTTAAGAAAACTGCTTGTTAAATACAGAATTTCAAACTAGTAACAATTTCTTTATCAGAAATCAGTCGAACTTACCTGTTTTCTGAAAACTCAGAGAGTCTGTTCATTATTGCCCTTGGACGGCGCCTATAATTAAATAGACAACATGTGAAGCTCAGCCGACCACCAGCTGATGTAGGATTACGCGTCACATTTAGCAGCTGACGGTATAGGTTTTCCACAGTCTATAAATAGCATCCAACTCACCATATTTCATGCCAGACATAATCTACGTTCTTCAAATGTAAACAAACAAACAAACAAACTCATGTCAAACTAAATGACATTTTCCTATTCCAAGAACATTTGAGGTTGGAAAAACAAGCAAATGGAACTAACGCTTACTATACCATTCTATGAAGGGAGAAGAGCATGCTTTAAAAATCAATAACGTCTGGTATAAGGTGAGTTAGACCTAAACTTATGTTGTAATTGTCACCAGCGACCACATGTCAGTACATGGTCTCTGTGATCTTAATGAATGAACATCTAAATTAACACAACTATTAAACATCATGTTCTCCATAAAACAATAAAGGCAAAAATTGTACATAAATAAACATGGACATCAGTTTCTAAGTAAAACATGGTATCTTCTTTGAGATGCATTTTTAGAAGTCGTAAAGTTGAAGGAAAACCAAGTTCTATGGATAGTCAACTTCTTTATTGCAATGAGTGCGACGTTTCGGTGTAGGTACTAACACAGTCATCCATTACTTGCTTGATAACGGTGTTAGTACCAGCGCACTCCGAAACGTCGCACTCATATTACAATAAAGAAGTTGACTATCCATAGAACTTGGTTTTCTTTAAAACATAATAGTCAATAATTCGTATGTACAACGATAACATTGCAGCTCTGGCCCCAGTTTCGGTAGATATGCGTCTTCTTTCATGCATAATCCAACTGGTGTTATTTCATAACTGCATAACTGTTTCATTTCTCAGAGCTAATATTTGGGAACAGACCGACTCTGTTAAACAAGAGTTATGTTTCTACACAATCATATTTCCCATTTACAATGTTTCTTCATCAATACATGGTTAATGTCGATGATACTCCCATGTATTTCAACACACGCTTGTTTCTACATGCTAGTGTCAGATACACGAGGGTATCTATACTACGACATGCTATATGGCATTACCTTCACAGCAGTAAGTCTCTCCACATCCTCAGCCGGGGACAGCTACAACGCAAAATGTAGGTGGTGCTAGTCCGTAAAATATTCCCTACCTTATCTCACCACGTGATCGCTTCTATGAATAGGTCCAGGTATAGGTCCATATCAACTGTTCCTAAATATATCTTATTCTTGGGAGAGAAACAACATGAAATTGTACATTTGTTTTCGTTATGCACACATATTAACCTGAGACTAAGATCTCGTCTCTGAGATGAACATGTTTTACAGAAAAAACGGTTCCTAAATTAACTTTATTAAATATAATAAAGTGTTATCTAGTAATCGAGACTTGCCACAATTAAGACACATTTGCTTCAGGGTCGGTATGAGTGACTAATAATAACTTATAATTAAAGAACATGGCACCACAAAGGATTTGCGACTATAAAAGGTTTTAATTATTGTCACGGGTCAGTGGTGGATAGAGCAGCTTAGCAAGCACTATTTGCACAAGTCTCAGATTTGGATCAATGCCAAAATCAAACGTGTAGTTATGTGTGTGTGTTTATGATAATGCATCAGTGATTACGTATGTCATAGTTTCCATGTTATCCAAGAATTTCCAGTAATATTATGGCATCAGGAAGAGATGCCAGTATTATCCTTGACATTAAATGGCATTTCAATATATTATCTATGCTGACAAAACAATAGACTCCAATATCTTTGGTATGATGTACGAATCTTCCAACCATCCTAGTCACAACTATGTATGTCATTGGTGAAGGCCTCATACTGTGGCAGCAACTCGAGATACCGGAGGACACGGAGCTCGCTAATGGTTGTACCAACATAGAGTAATAACAACAAAACACTCCTTTTAGAACATGGTCAAATCTAACATTGTATCAGGGATTACACCTTCTCAGTAAAGCAGATTCTAGTACTTGTTTAGGTTGAGTCCTATCGGTGATTCGAACCCACACTCTGGGAGTTGAGATCGCTCATGATTAGGTGCCTCACCTTGAAAGTGTGACTTAGTATCCCGGATGGGACTCCATCCAAATGAACTAGAATCTGTACTAACTGAGAGAGTTTAACCCTAAATATGCCATGTGTTAAGGAGTGATGTCGGCAATGTGTGACGAGTTGGGTGTGTGAGACATAGTTTGTTAGCCACACAGGTCTCTACACTCATACTGTGTGGTCAGCCTGACACTGCTGGATGTCAACAGTGGTATGTCAACCACCCCATGGACAGGCGTAGCTGCAACCTAAACTCAACAACTAAGAGCTAGCACTTTGAAATTGTTACTAAAATCAAGCATGATTAAGTTTGAAAAATGTAATATCATATTGTTGTTTTTCTGCCATTACGTTAAGTTTTAATTCACGTTCACTCAGCTACTTGTGTACAGAGCCTCCTTGAGGTTGGTTTTGTTTTGTCCACACTCAGCAATATTCCAGCTATATGGCGGTGCTCTGTAAGTAATCGAGTCTGGACCAGACAAGCCAGTGATCAACAGCATGAGCATCGATCTACGTAATTGGGAACCGATGACGTGTCAAACAAGTCAGCGAGCCTGACCACCCGATCTTGTGTCTCCTCTTACAAGAATGGGTTAGTGAAGATCAATTCTAACCCGGATCTTCAAGGTATCGCGTCCTTGAGGAGTTGGTTCCATATTGTCATGTTGGTGTGTTTCACGTTTTTTTTCCAGGATATGATTTAATCAAAATGCCAACTGGTGTGGCATGTCCAGATTGTGGTACTGGCTTTGTGGTGTCTGTTAGAAAGTGTAATCGCAAATAGAACATATGATGTCGGCAATGTGTGACCAGTTGGCTATGTGAAACATGTGTATGTATGTATTATAGGGACCAGATTGTATTTGGTCTGGATGATAGACACATTGATGAAAGAAAAGAATTTGTTTGCCCACACTTTGTACAAATACATCATTATCTGTCAAAAGATATTTCCAAGAACAAGGGTAATTAATCATAAGTACACAAATAAACAATTCTTAATTATTGTGAACAGCTGAAGATGAGTGAGTGAGGTTGCTTGATGCATTGTTGCATGGAGAGATGTATGTGTGGACAAAATAACAAACAAACACTCCAATTACATATCATTGAGAACCCGTGAAGCTCCTGGTTAGAATTGATCTTCAGTAACCCATGCTTGTGGTAAGAGGCGACTGACAGGATTGTGCGGTCAGCCTTTCTGACTTGGTTGACCAACATCTCACTGCATCCTAATTGCATAGATCCATGTTCAGACTGTTGATCACTGCATTGTCTGGTCAAGACTTGATTATTTACAGGCTGCTGCCATACATCTGGAATATTGCTGAGTGATGCCAAAATTAAACTCACTCACTCACATATAGTTGTGAGTATTGTTTAATTAAGCTTGCTTGAAAAAGCCATTTGTCACATTCTGGCACATTATTGTGAAAAGAAAACCGTAGGCTATGTGGATCTGGAATGTTTACTGCTTTGTGAACATTATCACATTGTTTCTGGCGATCAAACCATCAAAGAAAAAGTTCTTGCACGCCTAATTATATATAGACAGTTACTGTGAAAGGAAGATGAAAATGCAATCATGATAATGCCAGTGTAGGAAAGATGTAGAAAATCTAGCCTGTCCACACGACTGGCAGGTCAAATTTTTTACCAGTCCTGCCAAAATCTGGCCTGTCCTCCAAATATAAATAAAACACCTTAGGCAGTAAATATTCAAAAAGGTTATAATCATTATATATATGTCATTGGTTTGCTAAAATTGACCCGACATGAAGACGGACTAGATATTTTTTTAACCCGTCCTCCACAAAATTCACCCGTCTCGGACGTTGGGATGGGCTATCTTTCCTACACTGATAATGCCCATCTCATGAGGCAATAAGATACAAACAGTTTACATTATCAGTTTATTGTTTACATCCTTCATGGTATGGTACAAGTGTGCGGAAGTCTCGCCATGTTGGTGGCAGTGCCCCCTGGAGGTGTTTGCCACACTTGTTGCAGGGGGCCGAGAACAGTGTGTTGTAGGCTCGAAGCCACAGCTGGAAGAGAGTAACACATGATTATTGTGTTTGTAGGACATAGTTCTATCAGTGAGTCAACTCAACATGGTAGGAGGACCTTTAGTGATGCAGGTCCAGATTTTTACAATTCTGGTGAAACCCACAAGAATGGTTATGGAGCCAACAAATTAAGAATCATAACTAGGAGGAACCTTAATGATAAAATTGATTTTAAATTGGAATAGTCTTCACAGGATTCTGGCAAGCATAACTTTGTACAAATGGTCCAACCATGGCCTCTACATTTCATCCACCAAACTGACCTTTTTCAAACTTACTTAACGAAATAGGAGAATGTCCTTTCAAAAGCTGACAAAATCATGAAAATATCAGTAAGTCATCTAGTTACCATGGTTACAGACAAACCACTAACAACACCAAGTACACCCACCACAAGTGATTTGACTGTCAGCTCTGTGTAGGTGGGATGATAGAAATGTAGAGATGCTGCACTTGCATGATCAGTTATCTGGAATAGAAGAAGTCAAAGTTAATCCATGCAAGTACACACTGAGAATGTAAACCCTGATTTAACACAACAAACTTATCTCACCATCATTGCACAGAAATCATGGCAATAGCCCTACATGAAATAAGATGAGTTCCTGTACTCTAGATCTCTGAAGTGCATTATTGAATTTGTTAAGGTGAGCTGTGCATGCAAACCCTTCATAATGAAAGACAAGAGGTGATTTATTCCTACAGAAAGACTTCATCTTCATTTCAATCAAAGTCTAACTTACTGCCTGAACAGCAAAGCTCCAGTTCAATGCATGCCTGATGTGTTCACAATAAACCTTGAAAGATATCACTATGCCTATATACCAATTCTATATCCTCTGAAAAACTTCATATTTAGCATGTTCAGAAAAGGACTAGCCACAATCACTGTGGCCACATAAAGTGATGTAGTGTGTTTACATCATCAGCAACCAAACTGTGAGAAAGTGAGTATTAACCTGTGTTGTTGAGCCCATATGCACTCAAGTAACATGCATAGGCCTAAAAAAAATGTGTGGTTCCCATTACTCAACTGACCCTAGAATTCTGGTGCCGACCCTATTTTTTTAAAGTGGTATGAATGAAATAAGCTTTCAGATACCATTGTTTTTTCCCGGCACTGAGAGACATCGGTTTTTCTGATAGAGAAAGTCGACATCATGGCCTAAACCTTTATTGCATAAACAATTATACATTGGTAAATGTGTTACTAGTTTGTACTTTACTTCCCCCCCAAAATGAAAAAAATCCTACCTACCTACCCTAAATTTTAAAGAATTTTTTTTGTTTGGCCATAGCAGACATAATTCTTCTTTCCAACACAGACATCTACAAGTACAAAACTACTGCAGGTCTATTAACCCTGACACAGATTATAATGAATCCCATGAAGAAGACAACTGCTGGGGTTACACAAACCTTCTGGAACACCTGGTATCGTGAGGCTGACCAAATGTCAATCTGCAAGAGAAACAGTAGTGTCATTACCTCATAAACTCCTGTACTCATGCTGTTAACAAACAAACAGAACAGAATCAGATGTCACATCACATCAATAATCATGTCATTATTTCATTACCTGCCCTCCACCTGACTGTAACCCTGTCAGCCAGATAGTGAGTACTGATAGTGATATAATTATTTACAAGAGAGTTTGAATCCTGACCTACAAAAGAGCTTTTAAACACATGTACATTTTGGTGGGGTGGCCTATATGTATTTTGCAGATTTAGTTGATAAATTCATGTCATGAGTGGCACTTTGATATGACCAGATATTGATATACATCACAGAAACCTTGCGATGATAATCCCCGTAGGTCAACAATGCATGATCAGTTGATAACACTTGACAGAGTTGCTGACTTTTGTGCATTAAACATATCATAAATGGCTCAGTTTGTATTCTGCATCCAATTACTGCTCCCTGAAAGCATGGCTTTGGATTGAAATTTGGGCAGATTATGCCAGACGTAAGATATTGAAAACTGAATTCCCGAATGAAGCTTTGGTATCGGGACTGTCAACTCAGGGACAGCCAATTTTCTTAGATTAGCTGTTGGGCTGGAGTTTAATATATAAACACAGGAGTTAACTCACCTTGCCATCATCAGCAAGGAAGTTTTCATGGTAACCTTTGATCTTCACCCACTCAATGACGCAGCCTCTCAACACAATCAGGGCACGCAACGTCCTCTCCAGCGTCAACTGAAAACATCAATGACATGTACAGTGGACATATCGTCATCAACTTACAGTTACAGTCATCTTATCAACAGTTTACCTCCTATCATGTGTATCACATCATGTGACACAACATTTCACAGAGATATTCTGAGTGTTCAGATGAGTGGGATGAATCTGGCTGGTTGTTTGGAGGTGAATAGGATGCAATTTAGGCATGTCACTGACATATACTTAGCTTCATTTCTAGTACTAATACACAAAGTTAACACCTCATGATGATGCACATTCAAAGAAATCACAAAGGCTGATAACACACTCCAAGTTAGTTACTCCTAAATAGTGTGCTAGGGACATATACCATCCCTATGGAGCATTGAAATATGATTCAATTATTCCATGGCACACTACAGACATGTTCAACAACAGACCAACATAAATATCCACAGAATGTACTCTGCACCAGGCATGACAAGTTTGCTGGCAACCATTCATCCACCTACCTGTACTATGGCACAACTCCCCAGGGGCCTGGTGACTCAGATTCCCATGTCAGGAAACTGACGATCCAGACCCGCTATCAAGTTGTCCACCACCCTGTGGGAGAGATAAACAGTTACGAAACAAGCCATCTTTCCTAAAGTATCAGATAGAGCAGAGTCAACATGCATTGATGCAAATGACCCTAAAATGTCCATTACTAATGGGGCTTTATATTTATCTTTGTTTAATGCCACACCTTGGATGGTGGTCTGTAAATGATTGACGGACATCATGAATATCAATCAATACAAACATTTATCAAACTTGGTTTCCTGAACTATCTGATGGAGCATTGTTATATGAATCATATCAAATGACAACATTTATGTCTTGGAAGTTATAAATGTTGATAAACCGATTGTGAGGATCGCTACACTGATGGAGTCTCAGATCGATTGATTTATCGTTAATAGGGGTTTCTGTTTAACACTGTGCTCAGCAATATTCAAAGTTCTGAAATGTATTCTCAGCTGCTGGGAACAGTGTAATTATACAGATACAGCATGATGGAGACGGTCACATGGATACCGTTATATCTGTATTGTCTAAGCAAGCACAAAGCACTTACGATGCAGGCACATTGTATGGCATGGGAAGAGCTCTGGATCTCTTGATGCCCTTTATCCCTGATGAAACTCCCGGGAGAGGAGACCGCTTCAACGTGTTCATCTGCAGGATACCGGCAGCAGCCCCTGCATGCTCAGCTGTCTGTAGTAGGAACACATCATGAAAACTTATTCTCTGTAGTAAACAACTGTATGGTAACTTATGCTGCTACAGACATGCAGGATCTTTGAATACCAAGGGATTCTACTAAGCAAATGTTAAAATGTACAGCAAATGTTAAATTGAACATAACCACTAATAACATTACTATGTTTATATGAAACAACTCCTTTAACATATCAACAGAGTGTCTGTATTCACCAGTGTATCATAAACCATACCGTGCACATGTATCACGTGTATTTGACAGTTAAAGGGATAGTAATACTAGGACTATTACATTTCAAGGCAATCAGTCTCAAGGACTACCTGTTCTATGGACCCTCATGACTTACTTATCAAACTGCCACTGTTGAACATTTCCTAATTCCATGTCCTTCAATAAGCTTATCTATATTATCTGCTAGACTGATACATTCGTGTGAGTGACTTTAGTTTTACAACGATTTTAGCAATATTCCAGGGGGGCATACCAGAAATGGACTTCACACATTAAACCCATGTGGGGAATCGAACCTGGGTCTTCAGCGTGATGAACGAATGCTTTAACCACTAGGCTACCCCAATGCCTGAAACATTAGTAGTGAGTGAGTTTGGTTTTGCCCCGCTTTTAGCAATGTTCCAGCAATATCACGGTGGGGGACACCAGAAATAGGCTTAACACTGATACATTAGTAACCTAATCATAAAACTATGATATATTCCTAAATCCAACATTTATCTCTTACTTTATTTGTCCACTTGTATGCTTGTAGTAGCTGTGAGTACACAGGCAGCTTGTCTATGGCAGGATCCAAGCACACATTGGCACTGTTTGGAGTCTGGAGTATGGGGTTCAGGTTGTTGGCTACCTTCTCAAGCTCACTGAAACATTAAACCATTAACTAATATCCCTGATAACATCTGACAGGACCTTTCTTTCACCTCAATACTATCTCATATTAAAATAATCCACACCAGTGTTAAGCTTTCTTGAACATGCAGGAAACAAAAAATCATGATATGAAGAAAGAAAATGAAACTAAGAGATTGACCACTGATTATGTTGCTCTCCATCTGATTACCATTATAATGTACTCTGGGCAGGAAAGGCTATTTTGCAGTTTACAAAGAACAGCTTCTTGTGCAATATTGATTGAGGCTGCATCTCCTGCATGACAGAACCCGTGTAGCCTCCTTGATGCTTAGGGATAGTTGTCTTAGGATTAGATGTGAGGTACCTATCTGCTTGAGTGAATTAAACCAATAAAATTTCAGGAACATCTGTACAACTTTGGTTTCATCAAGATCATAAAGTTTCAGCTATAATGGGGGAAAGGCAACTACACATATAGTGATGTACATCAAGGTAAACACTCAGATGCTGATCAAATGGTAAAAGAGCACTAATTATTTGTGTTAGCTCCCATGGTCCCTTCATAGTGATGGCTGCTTACATTAACTCATTAACCTCACTTAGCTAAGTTCAATCCTCCATGCAAACCTCCTTGCTGAAGGAAAGAAACATGGTAAAGTGCACTACTTGCTTTCATTTACCAAGACCATGTCTTATCAAAATAGTATTTGTTATGTGACTGTAACGTCATGTTAGTGAATGCTATTTACAGCCATTACAGCACACTATTGATAACTGCCTAACACAAAAGTGAAAGCTGAGCGTCATGTTGGACGATGTCCAATACCAATTTTAGCAGTGTTTAGGCCCAAGACATGTTTTCAGATTACGAGCATTACAAAAATATTATATTTGTGAGAATACACTGTGAATATTGGACTTATACAAATTCATTTGTATGACCTTCCACGTGTACACATGCTTGGTAAAGCTTTAGTATTTGCATAGCTGAAGATTTTCTGGTCACCTGAAATCATTTGTCACAGACACGATTGACTTTTGAATGTCTGACAGGAATGTCTTTTCATTTCCCTTTGTGTTGTCAATTCCATCGCTGAGATCATGAAACACTCTTGAAACACTTGACCTCAGCTTCTGAGTCAGTCGAATTGCTTGGTTTAGATTATCTAATTGTTCTAAAGACAATTTAGCTGCAGTTTTATTTTCCATGTCTCCGGAGAAAGCGTCTTGAACGGAAGTGATGACGAGTTGTTCCCCTTAGTTGTTTCATTTAAAAAAACTCGAAACTATTATTCGGATTATGATTTCTTATTACGAGATGTTATTTTGCTGGAAACAATGTTGTTCTACTACAATTTTCGGACAGTTCATAAATGTACCTGAAGTATCAGATATTATATTTCGTAAAAATGGAATTAATCTATCACAATGTACGAATGAAAGAACAATAACAGTTATAACTAACAACATAGATAATATTGTTAAATATATTTTCTTTTAGTAAATTATCTACAGCGTATGACACTAATGAAAAATAGCAATCAAATAGCGAAAAAACACACAAATATTTAGACATGTCATACCCTAGTACCTATACTTTTCAGTAAAATTCTACGAACAACGGAACCAGATAATGTACTTTATGCATGCACCACCATGCATTGAATAGGAATTTGCAACTGACAGACCATTACGTTAAAAGTTGCACATGTTATGTATCTGTGACTAGGGTTTGCAGTTGTTATGTATCTGTGACTGTAGGGTTGCACATGTTATGTATCTGTGACTGTAGTGTTGCACATGTTATGTATCTGTGACTATGGTTGCACATGTTATGTATCTGTGACTGTAGGGTTGCACCTGTTATGTATCTATGACTGTAGGGTTGCACTTGTTATGTATCTATGACTGTGGGTTCTGTCTTGTACCATATCTGTGACTGTAGGGTCTGACTCGTACCATATCTGTGACTGTAGGGTCTGACTCGTACCATATCTGTGACTGAAGGGTCTGACTTGTACCATATCTGTTACTGAAGGGTCTGACTTGTACCATATCTGTGACCGAAGGGTCTGACTAGTACCATATCTGTGACTGAAGGGTCTGACTTGTACCATATCTGTGACTGAAGGGTCTTACTCGTACCATATCTGTGACTGTAGGGTCTTACTCGTACCATATCTGTGACTGAAGGGTCTGACTCGTACCATATCTGTTACTGAAGGGTCTGACTTGTACCATATCTGTGACTGTAGGGTCTGACTTGTACCATATCTGTGACTGAAGGGTCTGACTTGTACCATATCTGTGACTGAAGGGTCTGACTTGTACCATATCTGTGACTGTAGGGTCTGACTTGTACCAAATCTGTGACTGAAGGGTCTGACTCGTACCATATCTGTGACCAAAGGGTCTGACTTGTACCATATCTGTGACTGAAGGGTCTGACTGCATTTCATTACATCTGTGACCATGTATATGTGACCTAAGGGTCTGACTTGTACCATATCTGTGACTGTCGGGTTCTGACTCTGCACTATATCTGTGACTGAAGGGTCTGACTTGCACTCGTACCATATCTGTGACTGTAGGGTCTGACTCGTACCATATCTGTGACTGAAGGGTCTGACTCGTACCATATCTGTGACTGAAGGGTCTGACTTGTACCATATCTGTGACTGTAGGGTCTGACTTGTACCATATCTGTGACTGAAGGGTCTGACTTGTACCATATCTGTGACTGAAGGGTCTGACTTGTACCATATCTGTGACTGTAGGGTCTGACTTGTACCAAATCTGTGACTGAAGGGTCTGACTCGTACCATATCTGTGACCAAAGGGTCTGACTTGTACCATATCTGTGACTGAAGGGTCTGACTCGTACCATGTATATGTGACCGAAGGGTCTGACTTGTACCATATCTGTGACTGTCGTGTCTGACTCGTACCATATCTGTGACTGTAGGGTCTGACTCGTACCATATCTGTGACTGTAGGGTCTGACTCGTACCATATATGTGACTGAAGGGTCTGACTCGTACCATATCTGAAACCGAAGTGTCTGACTCGTACCATATCTGTGACTCTAGGGTCTGACTTGTACCATATCTGTGACTAAAGGGTCTGACTCGTACCTTATCTGTGACTGTAGGGTCTGACTCGTACCATATATATGTAACCGAAGTATCTGACTCGTACCATATCTGTGACTGTAGTGTCTGACTCGTACCATATCTGTGAATGTAGGGTCTGACTCGTACCATATCTGTGACTGTAGGGTCTGACTCGTACCATATCTGTGACTGTAGGGTCTGACATGTACCATATCTGTGACTGTAGGGTCTGACTTGTACCATATCTGTGACTGTAGGGTCTGACATGTACCATTTCTGTGACTGTAGGGTCTGACTCGTACCATATATGTGACTGAAGGGTCTGACTCGTACCATATCTGTGACCGAAGGGTCTGACTAGTACCATATCTGTGACTGAAGGGTCTGACTCGTACCATATCTGTGACTGTAGTGTCTGACTCGTACCATATCTGTGAATGTAGGGTCTGACTCGTACCATATCTGTGACTGTAGGGTCTGACTCGTACCATATCTGTGACTGTAGGGTCTGACCATCACAGACCTGGAGGATCTGTTAGAGGACATTAAGGTCTACTTGGAGCTGGAGCAGGGAAAGAACACAGACTACTGGAGAGACATCGTCACTGTGACTGAAGACGAGCTAAACAAGCTCCGCAAGCTGGATGCTAGCACAAGAGGTTAGATTTCTCAAAGATCTGTTTCATTGTTATTAGTATTATATGTATTTCAGTTTTATGGAAGATATTAAACCTTTATTCTTGTGATTATACACAACGATGTTTTCATAAAATGCCATAATGACATAAACAGTATGTTGTCTTGGTGAGTTTTGTAGCTGATCTATGCTCTTGTAATGGTATGCTGGGAGATGCTTAGATATAAGGTACAGTGAAACCTGTCTGAACCGTCACCCCACGGACTGAAATAAAATGCCGGTTTAGACAGGGTGACAGATTAGACAATGACGATCATTTTCTAACATGGCTGCCATTTACACTCGTCAATCTCTTTATCTCTGTAATGCCTTTGATCTTTTGTATTTGTGGAACAAATTAAAACAATGTTGATGACAGAACGAATGCCTATTTGTTTAATCTATGACACATGTCACTCACTTGAAAACAGTTAATGCAATTCCCCAGTGTTTATAAAGCATAACCACGGTAATCCTACGAGTGTTTGATTCACCGTGCAATCAATACTTCCTGATTATCTAGTGTGCCAAGAGGATTAATTAGTGTATTGGATTATGGGTCCTTGATTGGACTGCTCATACCCATGCCGGTTTGGACAGTGTTAATTACAGTTAAAATTGCTTGTTGGGACCAGAAAGTCGTGCCAGAATACGGACTAGACAGGTGCCAGATTAGACAATGTTTTAATGATCATAATATGGTTGTAAAATGGCGGGACCAAAATTTAATTTCAGTTTTGACAGTGTGCCGGATTAGACAGGTGCAGGTGCAGGTTTCACTGTTTTTTTATAACAGATGCATGGGTGGAGCATAGCTTTACCATGTTTTCAGTAGATGCTCTAATTTGATAGTAAATGAACAGGTAAAACTATTTTGATTAAATATCTTACAGTCGTTCATGTATTGTGAACCATGAAGATAATGGTTAGAATTGGTCTTTAACAACCCATGCTTGGCGACTAACGCGATCGGGTAGTCAGGCTCTTTTATCTGGTTGACACATGACATTGTATCCCAATTTCATAGAACAATGCTCATGATGTTAATCACTGGATTGTCTGGTCCAGACTTGATTATTTACAGGCTGTTGCCATATAGCTGGAATACTGCTGAGTCAGTGAGTGTGGCGTTGAACAACAAACCAACCAAAGAAATCATGTCTTGGGTAACTGTCTTGGACTTGGACACTGGCTGCAGTGTGAAGAGAATGCTGGTTATACCCAGCAGCATTGTAACTGCATTATAGTCTAGTTGGTATAGGGGCGGTGGGGTAGCCTAGTGGTTAAAGCGTTGACTTGTCACGCCAAAGACCCGGGTTCGAATCCCCACATGGGTACAATGTGTGAAGCCCATTTCTGGTGTCCCCAGCCGTGATGTTGCTGGAATATTGCTAAAAGCGGCGTAAAACCAAACTCAGTCAGTCAGTCTAGTTGGTATAACTTTCTTATGTGACATATTCAGAATATTTTGGTGACCGTCGCGAGGGCATCAACACGGCAGTGACCAGCGAAGTCAGCAACATCTTCAAGGGCAAGACGACGAACCAGCTGAAACTATTGGAGCAGCAGATCAGAGAGAAGCTCACTGGTGGAGAGGGTATTGATATTGGTGAGTGTGACTTCTCGCCATTCATGTCACCTAACAAAGTAGAGAGTGCAGTTGGGCCTTCAGGTGCACAGTCAGTTATCTATCATTGGATGTTCCAATACACACTTTACAAGATGGACTATGGCAGTAATAAGGCCTTGAGATGTCAGTTATCTTGCCTCCTGGGTTGCATCTAAGACTCCTGATGGTAATACCTAGTGTTGGGGGCGGGGGGTAGAATTGTTGTTAAAGCATTCACTTGTCATACCGAAGGCCAGGGTTCATTCCCTATATAAGTACAATGTGTGAAGCCCATTTCTGGTGTCTCCTGCCTTGATATTGCTGGAATATTGCTAAAAGCGGGGTAAAACCTGACTCACTCACTCACTGTAAGTGCTGGTGTTATCATTGACATACATTTTATCATTTTCAAGTTACCTCATAACATTATATGGTATATATCTTCCTTTAACCATAATCTGACTCTGAATTGGATCAGTGAGACAATTGTGCCACGGCAAGATGTGGACATAGGAAATATTCATGTATTAGGATAGTGAAATGTACAGTGCAGATGCTATGTCCTTCTGTTCCAGGTTACTGGGAGTCCCTGCTTCAGCAGCTGAAGGCACACATGGCCCGGACGAGGCTTCGGGAACGTCATCAGGATGTCCTCAAGCAGAAGCTGAATGCCCTCAAGAGAGAGGTAAACATGCTGAGAACATGCCAAGATAGTAGATCTGGTCTGACTGAATTCTTATCTCACTTTAACAAGACCACATGGTGTTAAGTTTCAGATATTTGTTTGATTTATTTAAACATTATGTGGTGTAACTAATATGAAGTTTTAAGAACCTAGATTAGCTCCTAGTGGGACAAGACCGCCTCCGTGGTGTAGTTGTTAGAGCGTCCGCGGAAGGTCGCGGGTTCGATCCCCGACCGCATCATACCAAAAGACGTCAAAATATGGTACTTGTTGGTCCCTGCCTGGCACTCGGCATTAATGGGTACAAGGACTGGTCGGCTCGGAGTCAGTATAATGTGTCTGAGTGGGGTATTCATGCTTCACTGCGGCGTGGTATCTCAGTGGGCTAGCACTATAAAACCAGCAGTCCCGCATACATAAACACACGCATGCAAGTCGTCATATGAGCGAAATATTCTCAAGCACGACGTTTAACCCAATTTCACCTCACCTCACCTAGTGGGACAAAATTTACTTGAGCTAAACATGCTGAAAGGTAAATATGTACACCAGGCTGGAGTATGATTTGTCCCAGCGTACAGTCCTAGTTGTATTATTGGAGGGTTACTTCCCGGGGAAGCCGAAGGCACTAATAGGTAGGGGCAACTAGGTGCTTCATGTGGTGAACGTCATTTATGCAGCTACTTTCAGCACTCTTTCTATGACCTGTTTCCACATTAGTACTGCTCAACTTGTGATTATGCTTCCAGCAAGGAATTGACTCAGATCCACTATTTCCTGTGCTACATGACGATTCAAGGGGCAGTGCATCTGGTCACTCCTCACCCGCTGTCCATCGGTCATCTCCTGGAGTCCATAGGTCATCTCCCGCACCAGGAGTCCATCGGTCGTCTCCTGCAATACATCGAGCCTCACCCATCCCCCAGAGGTCATCCCCTGCCCCCCTGCCAGGAACCTCATCCCAGCCTGACGAGCAGCCCAGTGTGAAGGAGGAGGATCTGGCAGCAGAGAGGCAGGACAGTGAGGAAGAAGATGATGATGGAGAAGAGTATGTACATCAAGACATTTCAGAAGTATCTTTCTGTTTACTAATAATTTATGGGATACAATTTGGATAGGGTGGTACTACATGGCAAAGCTATCTTAGCACTATAAATGTTGTAAGTCTGTGTTGAAGTGTGGGAGCTAAGATCACCTCAGAACAAAAAAGGTCTCAGTGAAATGGACCCCTGATCCTCTATGATAGAATATGGACAGCTTTCTCTTTGAGTTGATTTCCAAACATTACAAAAGAGGATGCCGGGCATTTCTTTTCTTTGCTGAGATTACCTGTGAAACGTTCTCCTTGTTCAGTGTGTGAAAGATAAAGATACATGATCACTGCCTCAGTTGTCTGGTCGAGAGAGTGAACATCTTCCCCAAAAGTGAAAGCTCATGTTTAGGACCTTGGCTAAAGGCAAGCATTATATAAGAGCATTTGTTGAGACTTGTACAAGCAGACACACAAGCACACTTGAAAAGGACCATAAACCCTGTTACACCCCACCTGGCTTTCTTCCAGCTCGGAGCCATTGATCACTGAAGCTGACCTGGAGGAGGAGGCTGTGGATGACTACACTGCTGGCAGCTACAGCCCTAGGCTGCTGCGGAGCAACGAGCTGGACATCGACGCTGTGGTGTACGATCCAGTGGACGACCTCAAAGAAACTGGACCTTGCTCGGGATCAAGTGCGGACAACTGGCCGAGTTAGGGTATGTTGTGAAGGATTTAGGAGTTAGGGTGTGTTGTCAAGAATATTGGTGTGTAGGAATCAAAGATGTCGTTTGGTAGGATTCAGGATCAAGTATTTTCCACTGCCTAAGTTTTGGTATGTTGACTGAGTAATTATAAGCATCCAAACAGATACTGGACAAATTGTACATTATTAGAATATTTCTCAAACTGTAAGGATTGGTGGAGTAGCGTGGTGGTTAAAGCATTTGCTTGCTACACTGAAGATCCGGGTACAATGCGTGAAGCCCGTTTCTGTTGTCCCCCTGCTGTGACATTGCTGGAATGTTGATAAAAACAGCGTAAAACCATACTAATTCACTCAGACTAAAACATTATGAAATGAACATTGTAACATTTTCTGGTGCTTAATTACACCTGGTCCTATTGTGAGTATACACAGTATCATGTTTATTGCTGAGATAAATTATGTGTTGATAACATAATGCTAGATTTTATCCAGTATGCTTTCCCTGCTCTAATTCAGCTTGACGGAGAGACATTGTTTGAGAAGAAGGCCCGAGAGGGGATGAATGATGATGAGGCTCAGTTCAGTGTTGAAGTCACGTTAGATAAGCAGGCTTTCTTGTGGTCCGACAAGTACAGGCCACGAAAACCAAGGTTCTTCAACAGAGTCCATACGGTGAGTACCAGGGGAAGTAACTCTACACAGACCTTGTGAGGATCTGGGTGAGAATGGGTCATCAGCATCGGAAGGTCAGGCTGAGTTTGTTAAAGCATGTCATGGTAACCCAGTTGTGTAGATTGATGCTTATTATGTAAGTCACTGGATTGTCTTGTTGATACTTGATAATTTGCAGACTGCTGCCATATTGTTGGAATTCAGTCAAGTCCAGCATGAAGCAACAAGCAAACGAACAGACTTGTTGGAAGAGCACACCTGAGTGAAAAGTGACTTAGTTGTTGGAGCAAAACATAAACTTTATTGATACAATAGGCTAGTATTGTGGATATTTTCAGCCATTTTGATAAAGTGTCATGTCTGAAATCGGACACAGCTTGACAAACCTGTTTTAGGGAGCCTGAGGCAGAGGATGAGGATGAGGTTGGATGCCTGGTTAGAGAAGGTTCACAGCAACCTGTGCTAGTTGTACATCGTGATTTAGTGACATGTGGTCAAATTCGGTGACTTACTTCATTGCATGTCATTGTTCAAACAAGTGAGGCGGATAACAATAGAGAACAGCTAACACTTATCAGAGGGGTACACAAAGTCCGCAGTTTAGACTACCAGTTATCCGACTTCCCGGCTGAGCGGTCTAGACGTCTGATTTTGTGTGCTGGCGATTAGGTGCCTGACTCTGAGGGTGTGGGTTTGAATCCCGGATGGGACTCAACCCAACAAATGTACTAGAATCTGTACTTTACTAAGAAAGTGTAATCCCAAATTTAACATGTTACAGCTAAAACTGAAATTGAAATGTCACCTCATGAGGACCATTGTCTTTCCTTTCTTAAATGTATGAAAATACAATGACCATTTCTTTCCATTCTTAAATGTATAATCAGCATGTAAATCTATCTGTTTCTTGCACAATCATCATTCTGTTTCATTTACAACACTCTCATGGTTTAATAAGACATGCTGTTTGTTGTTGCATGCAATGATGTTTATGCTATGTCATCATTCTAGTTGTGAAATCTTTGTCTGTGAAATATTTATGGTGGGAATGATTCCAAAGTGATGAACATGTCTTTTTTGCAGGGTTTTGAATGGAACAAGTACAATCAAACTCACTACGATATAGACAACCCACCGCCAAAGATTGTGCAGGGTTACAAGTTCAATGTAAGTAGATCACTGAGTTACTGTAAGTATCACACTGCATGGTAATTCCTGATTTACCTTAATATCAGTGGATGCATATTGTGATACCTCATCAGGTGTGATACCTTATGTATTAATGCTAAACATGGCGTAAAACCATGCTCACTCACTCTATCTGGCCTGGCCAACAAAACACCATCGGTATCCTTCTGTTCGATTTTAATCAGATGAATAGTTAGTTTCATCATGCAGTAAGATTGAACCATTTTTTGGGTGTTATGGAGTTTAATATTGCGTACCATGCAATCTCTTTCAAACGTCATTTTATTAAAAACAATACAAAATAACATCATTACACACAGGATGGTGTATAAGGCATCATATTGCCAGGTGTAGATTTACAATGATAAATACATCAATTGTGAGACCACTAGTCATGTCATCGTACCTGTCTACAAATGACAGGGAGAGTAACCCTCCATCTAATCATCAGTCAGGAGACGTCTGCTGTCTATGGGACTGTTGAGTTTACCAAGTTGTTACCCTGTACTCATCTGTTCCAGATATTCTACCCCGATCTGATCGACAAGACAGCAACACCAGAATACACTGTGGTGAGTGAGGCTACTCAGATGTGAATAGTTACCCGGGGGCGATGGGTAGCCTAGTTGTTAAAGCGTTGGCTCATCACGTCGAAGACCCAGGTTTCGATTCCCCACATGGGTACAATATGTGAAGCCCATTTCTGGTGTCCCCAGCCGTGATATTGCTAAAAAGCGGTGTAAAACCATACTCACTCATTCATCACAGACCAGTGACATCACCACCAGGTGGTACATACGTGCATACAAATTGCTTACAACCCATTATAACTGACATATATTTACTCACTCACTCATTGGATACCGTCATTGTATACAATTTACTGGAGGATGTGTGTGCTTTTATCATTTATACTGCCCACAGAACACAGTATCATTTCTTGTAGAGTATCAGTCTCCAGAGTAATGACTCCTGATAGCCACTTCATGTTTCCGTGTGTCAATGCTCTAATTATGTTGTGAACCATGACTGGTAAGTGGGCCATCAGATTCTAGTAAAGTGATATGGTCAACCAGCCATTAATAGAAAGAGCAGTAGTATGATGTTACAAATGCAAATTATGGAGTATTTGTTGCCTTACCATCATCATGGAAACCGCACACTATGGCCTTGTATCCTGAACAACCTACCTGTCATACAAGTACATGTATGTGTTAGTTATACTAATTACAACTACAGATATTGTAGTAGTTTCGAAACCTCCTGACTCCTAAATTTATATGCTGATCGTATTTATATACACAATGTACATATAAAAAGCAAAGTATGTAGTATTTCAACTTGTTCAACATTTGAAGCACTTCATGTGCCATCATGACAGACAGATCCAGAACCCCTTCAAAAATAATTTGTAATGAAACATTATTAGCAGTATTTTGTAGATTGGTATTTATCCGCCATATTCTTCTTGACATAAGATGGATGTAAAAGAGTATGTATATAGACCCCTGTGTATTGTGTAACTGATGGAGCACTTCTATCTTCCTTGACAGACTCCATGTGATGACAACAAAGATTTCGCCACACTTAGGTTTCATGCTGGACCGCCCTATGAGGTACGTATTGCTTCAGTATCAGGTAAAGAGGGTTGCACAAAGTAGATCCACAAAGGGTTCATTCACTTCATATTGATGACGTTAGTCCAAGTGAATAGCAAAAACATAAGTTCAAAGATTATATTAATGTGAAGACAATAATGGCGGCTTTTGGTGAGAAGGTTTTACGTTTCTGATGAATTGTTAATATTTGTAGGACATTGCCTTCAAGATCGTCAATCGTGAGTGGGAATATTCGTACAAGCGTGGATTCCGATGTCAGTTCCAAAACAACATTTTCCAGCTGTGGTTCCACTTCAAGAGATATCGTTACCGGAGATGAACAGTGACTACACAGTGTGACTTCACCACCACCATCATCATCATCATTTGTACATACGTCGCCTGTAGATATGACAATTTTATCCCTTGTAAATAAACTCAAAATTGTAATCTTTGTTTGAGTATTTGTATCCATATGACTGAAGAATTGTCCATGTGAGATGGACAGCAGTTAGCAAGGCACAGATATATACTAGTATTTCAGGTTCTGAAGTTCATTTTGATTAAAGAAAGAAATATCTCAAAATAACCTTACTGACAAATGTGTCTTACAGTGGAGAAAGAATGAAAGTGTCCTGACAACTTTTATAATTCTTTTTATATATTCCTCCTTTTATAAGTTTGTGATTAAGGAAGGACATCAAAGATGTTGTGCCAAGGCCATCATTCTTGATATGTAACAGTATTGTAGAGAGACTGCAATACATGATCAGAGAAACTTTGCTCATGAGTTGAACTGAAACAGAATAGGTTTTGTACTTGAAGTCTTGAGTTACCACAGCTATTGTCCAGCTCCCATCAAAGCTACCTGTAATCAGGGCCAGGCCAGTCGAACCAGTCCCTGACAGCACAAGGAACCATCCAAGCTGTCTAGCTGTGATGTCCTACTGGCAGTGAGGTCCAGCATTGTGACTTCCAGATACTAATAATTGGTTCTTGCAACCGACAATGGGTACAGTCAATATTTAATTAATAATAATAATAATAATAGTCCATTTATATTGCGCGTTTATCCATGCACATTGCATGCTCAAAGCGCTGACATATTACCCCTGGTCAACGAGTACAGAACACTCCATGTTAAGAATACAACCGGTCGCCTGTCAGGCTCTCAAGGTTCAAATTCAAACTACCATCGTATCATACCAGGTATCCAATTTTACTGCTGGGTGGACAGAGGCAATTTTGAACAAACCCACTTGCCTAAGGTGAGACCACATGCATCACATGCGCTTCGTTGTGGGGCAGGACTGAAGTCCTAGAAACTTTCAGGAGTCAAGCTGCCAAACACGGTCACCCATCCGAGGACTGTCCGGAGTCAATTGAAGACCCGTGAAGATCCAGACTAGGATTGGTCTTCAGCAACCCATGCTTGTCGCAAGAGGCAACTAATAGGTTCAGATGCTCAGGCCCGCCAGCTTGGTTGATATATGTCATTGTATCCCAATTGCGTAGATTGCTGCTCCTGATGTCAATCAGTGGATTGTCTGTCCCAGACTCTATTTTTTTCAACAGATCGCTATCATATAGCTAAGTGTTATTAAATGACAAACAAACAAAACAAACATGATACAACATAAAGAACGAGATTACAAAACGGCAATGTTGATGATTTCTTGTATATTACTGCACATGTTTGTCAGTTTCCATTCCGTCATACAGAAGCTCACACTGTTCAAGCAGGGACAACAGGGGCCCGGGGTTGTAGGGGAACAGGTCTTGACTGGACAGTCTCTCAATTCTTAGACCAACTCGGATAAGTTCACTCATCACACTCTCCACACACTGTAGGTCACATGACCTTGCACTGAGTTGGACAGTAGACGGCACTGTTCCAGGGGTCAGCACAACCCCATCTGTCAGTGTTGTGGCAGAAGAACGTATGTCTCCATCACTGCCACCATCATCATCATCATCATCACAGTATGCTGCCAAATAAGACAACCCACTACAGTGTCCTCTAGCCTGTGATTGTTGTGCAGTGGATGATTGTGTTTGAGAAGGTTTTGGACTAGATGATTGTGTAGGAACTGGTTGAGGATTAGATTGTGTAGCAAATGGTTGTGAAGTAGATGATAGTGGATTTGATGATTGTTGTGGAGTAGTTGATTGTGTTTGAGAAGGTTGTGCAGTGGATGATTGTATAGGAAATGGTTGTGGAGTGGTTGATTGTGTAGGAAATGGTTGCGCAGTGGATGATTGTGTAGGAAATGGTTGTGGAGTAGATGATGGTGTAGGAAATGGTTGTGGGGTAGATGATTGTCTAGGAAATGGCTGTAGATTAGATGATTGCGTTGGAAATGGCTGTAGATTAGATGATTGTGTAGGAAATGGTTGTGGAGTAGATGATTGTGTTGGAAATGGCTGTGTGTGAGGGGATGTCATTGCTCCTGAAGATATCTGGCTGCTATCTGAGCTCCTACATTCACCATCCCTACCATCTGGGTGGTCTGTCTTTACTGACTTCTGTAAACATTTGCATCTATCCTCTATAAGCTGTGAATGTTCAACTGGTACATTGTCGCACACTTCTTGTTCTGGGTGGTCTGACACTCTGGAAGCAGTCTGTCCACTCAGTTCAAGATCCATGGGTTCATTCTGGGACACACAAAATCTAAGATGACATGCTGTAACAAACTTGTCCCACTCACACACAAGACACTTGAGGTACCGCAGGAAGTAGAGCAGGAAACATGTCTCAGGGGAGGTCAAGAGGTCAACCAGGACCATGTGATCATTGGAATCCATGAACTCCAAGAAGATGGGATGAGGGTTGACTTTGTGTGACAGAGTCAAGTCTGGGCTCAATCTGGAAGAAGGAAGAATGCTCATCCTCATCATGGTTCTCATCATGATATGTCATCATGTTGTAATGAAATTGCTTTTTTAAATTCATTTTTGAAACATGAAGCAAAAGAAGGAAATCTAACAGTAATTTGGTGTAGACTTGGAGCTAAATATCAGGGTCTGAGCAGGTAAAATATATCCTATGGATGATGCTCAATACGAAGGTATGGTGGCAAGTGGATCCAGGGTATTTATCATAGTGGGGTGGTGGGGTAGCCTAGTGGTTAACGCATTCGCTCGTCAAGCGGCGTAAAACTAAACTTACTCACTCACTTTATCATAGTGAGTGACTATGGTTTTATGTTGCTTTCAGCAATATTCCAGCAATATCATGGCAGGGGACACCAGAAATGGGTTTCACGCTTTGTACCCATGTGGGGAATAGAACTCGGGCCTTTGGCGTGACAAATGTACACTTTAACCACTAGGCTACGCCACCACCCGTATTTATCATGACACAAAAAAGGTGTAATATGTGGGATACAATGTATATGGCTAAAAGCATATGTCCAGCCCTACCTCAATGTATTCACATAGATGTCCAACAAACACAGCAGAACCTCCACCCATGCATCGTCCTGGTCCCCGAACACCAGGGGGGAGCCACTGCAGGTCTCCAGCATCGAATGTCTTCTGCATGAGCTCAGACACACTGTCCAGACAGGTGGATACCGTCTGCTGGCCTTAACACAAAGAGAAACATTACAACATACAACTAACAGTTGAGTGAATGAGTTTAGTATTGTGCCGCTTTTAGGAATATTCTAGCAATATCACAGCAGGGGACTCCAGAAATAGGGTTCACACATTGTACCCATGTGGGGAATCGAACCCGTGTATTCGGCGTGACGAGCAAACGCTTTAACCACTAGGCTACCCCACCGCCCCACCATCAGTTGAGAGAGTTATTATAACTGTATCATGGAGTTGTTGGTAGTGTTTGCATCAGAGTGAATGCAAGTAATAATATGACTAATTGGTGCCAATATTCTACTGGATTTTTTTACTTGATCACTTATATTCCTGGTATAACAACACGTGACACTGTGCTGTTACAAATTCAGGCATGCACTTTCTTTGCAATAATCCAAACAATTCACTCACTCACATATTCACTTCCTAAATGTCTGCCCAGTGTATTTGTACAAAATACAGTCATTACCGGCTTCATATGCTAAACATCCTTTCAGAGTAATTTTGTTTAAGAGATATGATTTCTGCAAGTGTGCACTCACCAGTGACATATTGTTAGGGTGCCATTATGATACAAACCCTGCCATTGGCACTTTAACACAACAATCTTGAACCTTGAACATTACTATGACTGGAGCCTGTAATATCACCCGGGCAACAGATACCAATGGTCAACAGCATGAGCATCCATTACAGGCTGATGAAAGTCATTGACAGTGGTCACCCAGCCAAAATTTGTCACACTCAACAGCCATTTATACCTACCAATCTCCAAGTTTTAAGTGTTTTGTCTAGAACAATTGTAATAGAAACATATTCCCACATATTTTCCACAGAAACAGGTTGAAACATACAGATTTGAATATTGAAGATGGAAAGAGATATTCTTTCACATACGGTAAATCATTTTCTAGAATACATCAGAATGTGATAAAACACCCAAAATTTGTGATTATTATTATTGGATATTATTGGATATTTATATAGCACATATCCACGCACTAGTACATGCTCAAGGCGCTGGTAGTTTTTCCCTCGATCATTGGATGTCAATCTCAACAGCACATCTTATTATCAATCTCAACTCCTTGGGGATCATACAACTCTTGCAGCCACTAGGCGCACCGAGTTATTGCGGCTTTCCCATCTCTACGAGGTACCCATTCACAGCTTGGTGGACTGGGACACATAGTCACAGTACTTTGTCCAAGTTTACTGCAAGTTGATGTACCCACAACTGACTCCAAGGTTTTTACACCCGGTCACAGGTGGGCTCGATCCCGGCACCTCATAACTAGCCTGGTGCCTTAGCCAGCTCGCCCACCATGCCCCCATTAGTTGTTTCCAATGGAATTTTTAAGAAAGACCACATCTACAAAGAAGATGATGATAAGCTCTGCTGTGCATGTGTTGAACAGACCATAACACAAAAGATATGTGCTTCAGAGTCTTTGAAAAAAATGCTTACATGAAGGAACTTGTGGGGTCAATCTCACTATTATGGCACAGGATTTAAGCAGAGCTAGAATGAGTTTCCTGAGAAGAGCCAGATCTCCATTCTGCATTTCGGCCAGTGTACCCTCAACATGGCTGCCTCCAAAACACACAAACTGACGAACGTAGGGAGCAGACGTCAAGGCAGACGAGCACACCTCAGATAGCAGTCTCTCAGACATCTCACTGTAAAAGCTTGTGATAACCTTCCTCTCTGCAAGATGGCTGCCATACGGGAGAAATGTGTTGAAAATATCCAGTGTCTTTTTACACACAATTCTCCCCTCTGGTTTATTAATATACTGCAAGGATCTTATCAGGAACTGGAGCAGATGTTCTTGATTTGAATCTAATAATGATTCTAAATGACTTTCTTTCAATTCTTTTTCAAATTTATTTACAAATTTGACAATTTTCTGTAACAATGTCAGAAATGTGTTGAGTTCATCAATGGACTGATGCTCTTTGTATCTCAAGATGGTTTGAACATATTCAGCTTTTAGTATGTGAGATGATGTCAGATGTTGATGGCACCATGTATTGAGATCCTGGCCATGTCTGTTTGACATGAGGTGTTTCAGTAACTCCATGTTGGATATCCTGACTGACGCTTGGCTGGAGTTGATCACCCCAGACATCACCTCCTCTAGGAAATGCTCCCTTGCTTTCTGAAATCACAGAATATTTGTCCAATGATATGAACATAATGTTAGAAAAAGGATGAATAGGTATTCATATGTAATTGAATTAAGACTGGACGGGTCAAAATCAAATCTGATTAATTTTTAATAATCAATGTGTTTTCCATAGAATGGGAATGACAGCAAAGCAGATTAATCTAACACATTACTGGTACTCATGATAGGGTGGAGGGGCAGCCTAGAGGTAAAAGCGTTCGCTTGTCATCCTAAAGACAAGTGTTCATTCCCAACATGAGTACAAAGTATGAAGTCCATTTCTTGTGTCCACCACCATGATACTGCTGGAACATTGCTGAAAGCTCTGTACAACCATACTTATTACTCACTGACTCTAATTAGTGTATATATATTTTCCTGAATTATCTGTCCCATGTAAAAGTGTAACAAACCTGACAACTGAGCATTTATTACATACTCTGGTTAATAGCAGTATATGCAGCATGTCATATTTATGTGAAGCAGAATTTATTCTAATAATAACAATTAGCCTAAAGCATACACAGAATTTCCATTTTTCCAGTGAACCATAACAAACACCAACATAAAGAACCTCTTTACATTTTACTGAGCATCCAAGTGGAACTGATGAACATTCTAAAAATCATAATATTTCTACTGCTAAGAAGATACAGGATATGTTTTTGTTTAACATGATAAATCATACTTACATTAAACAATGGACATTTCACCACAGCAAGAATGGCCTTGGATGCAGCATACTTGATGAATCTATCACTACTGTGTGAAAGCTTCAACTGCAAAAGGTTATTTTACACTACATATTCACGATGCAATGATTTGAAATAAAAATACAACAATGTCCACGATGGTCACCAATAGAATCTGATACTTATTTGCCCACTGTATACACTTTCAGGATAGTTTCAGTGGAAATGTAGAACATGTGACATTTTCAGACGCATGACAGAAAGAAAGACCATGATCATGAAGATTTTAGTGTGTTATAAACTTTTCAAATGTTGATAAATTCTTGGACCATATCCACAAAACATAATGACACTGAACTGTGATTTAGTTCAAATTAGCAAAATGTTCTCTCTGGATATAGGGCAATGGTGGCCCAGTCATTTTAGAATACACAATGCCATTAATAAAGTGGTTAACACACTATATTTGGGATTACACTTTCTCAGTAAAGTACATATTCTAGTATTTTTATTTGGAGGAGTCAAGGATTCAAACGCACTCCGAGCAGGGCACCTAATTGCCAGCACACAAAGACAGCAATCTAACCCACTCAGCCATCACAAAATGGACATCAGACAATTGGTAGTCAAGACCACATACTTTGAGTACCCCTCTGACGAGTGAAAAATTGAGTGTGTCTCCTAGCTACCCATATTCTATCAAAATAATTAATGTCATGCTTAATTTTACCACACATTACAATAGAACTTAGATGCAATAATACCAAAGCTCCCAAGTTCTCACCAAAACTGACAGAATATTGATCTCCTTCAAACCATCCATCAATGAATCCTCAGCTATGTTCACATGTAAAAGTCTTCTCTTGGAGTGACTATCTGCATCCGATCCACCTGCATTCTGTACAGAAAACAGTCCAGCATCAGAACACCCTGCCCCAGGACACCTTCCGACACCTGGATGTCCTGAACGCTGTCCAGCCTCCACCACCAGCGTCACACACGACAACATCAGCAGAGTCTCCTGTCTACAAGGCTGGCCAGTGAGGTCAGGCCTGACCACATTTTCACTACCTTCAATGGTAGAGATATCAGTAATGTGCTGATTCTGTTCCTGTGAATCATGTAAGTCCCCTAGTTGCTCTCTGCATGGTGAGTCTTCATTTGACACACGTGTCTCAAGCAGTAGTTGCTGAAATGTTTCTTTTGATAAACAATGTTCCCTTCTGTCCTGTAGAGCACAATATAATTTTTTCAGGAGGCAGAATCTTGACTGCATCATCTCTGTAAAACATGAATGTTCAATTAGTCATATGAAATTCTATCGTTTAACAAAAACACTAGGAAGGTAAGATTTTGAACAATTGAATGGCTGATTAATGTAACTCCATGAACTATATACAAATAAGTTCATCTAGATGTCAAATACTGATTTATTATTGCAAATAAGTTATATTATCACTAAACGACAACTAGGATTGCATTCAATATATGTTCACTGGTTCTTATACTCCTTTTGGGATCCTTTGTTAGAATATACATGAAGGTCCAGGTCAGTATTGATCTTCAGCAACCCATGCTTGTCGTAAGAGGAGACTAACAGAATCAGGTGGTCAGACTTGCTGACTTGGTTGACATCCCAACTCATAATGTTAGTCACTGGAATATCTGGTCCATGTAGCTGGTGGTGCTGAATGTGGCGTTAGACATCATACCAACCAACCAACCAAGCAGTTGTTAGAATATGTCGGTTTTCGTATCGGTGAGTGTGTGTGTGTCATTGATTTTTGTACATGACATGTGGGGTGGGGGATGGTGGTGGGAGTGTCACTTACTTTGTACATAAATTTTAGTGGGGGGTCATTCTCATTGTACATGTGTCTCCATAAACATCATCATCATCCCCTCTAGCCATAAATTATGAACAGTCCCTTAGTGACCTGTTTGACTGTATGTCGGTGTAGCCCAAATTGTGGATTGTTGCTCGCAATATTGATCACTTCATTGTCTGATCCAAACTCTATTTTTAAAGGCCACTGTCGTATAGTAGGGATATTGGGTTTATATGTTGTTCAACACCATTATGACCCAGCAATACTCCACCTATATGACAGCAGACAGTACATTATGAAAACTTTCTATCAACCAAGTCAATGAGTCAGACTACCTGATCCATCTCTTACGACCAGCATAGATTCCCTGGGCCCAGTTTGAACCTGGAATCCTCATATGTAGTTAATGTAACAGGGTATCTGTTCCTTCATACTTAACTTCTCTATAGGAATTATTCCCATGGAACCGTTTTCACTAGATACAGGGTTGGCTAAAAAGATTGATAATTGGAAATATTGTCGATGGGAAGAATTGTCAATGATTATCCTTTGAAAATTGTGTCATCAATAACATAGTACTTAAACTACTGAGATGAATTAGGGACCGTTCATAATTTATGGCTAGGGAGTTGATGATGATATTAGGAGGGTGGGGGTGGGGGTGTTTGGTTGGTTGGTTGGTTGGTTGGTTCACTCAATTTGATCTGGGGAGCCAAGGGGGCAGGGCTGTCAGCAATTTTGTACACACATACTAGGGGGGAAGAAAAAGAAGAAGCAATTTTTGTGCATAAAAATATGCTTAAAATTATGCTTAGAAATTATGGGAAGGGGAGGGGGGGTAATTGATTTTGTACATGACATGCAGGGGGTCACTTATTTTGTACATAAATTTTAGGGGGGGGGCATTCACATTGTACATGCTTCCCCATAAAAATTATTATCACTCTTTCCCCCAACCCCCAAGCCATAAATTATGAACGTTCCCTAATTAAGTTTTAATTCACACACACACATTTCAATGAAAGTTTTTATTCAAAGGCTGCTTGATATGTATGCTCAGGATGCTGTTTTTGTCAGCAATCCATGGAGTTTTGCTCAAATTCACTTCTCTGATATTTATCGATAATTGATCAATATTTAGTTATTGATTATCAATTTGTATGAGCTATATTGATTGCCAGCCATAACCAGATACATTTTCCCATTATACATTTACACTGGTAATATCATCATCACCCCACTAGCCATACATTATGAACGGTCCCTAAGTCCCCTATCTTGTGACACATCCCTGTAAGGTTAATAATTCAACAGTTGTCTACAATAATCCCAATATCATATCCACGAGTGGCATGATGTCCACTAGTTCATATGAATAAACTCGTATATTCCAGCCAAGGCCTACATCGAGCACACCTTGGTATATAGTGCAAAGTCGTCTGCAGTAGTTATATGCTCGACTAGTCTAGATGTTCACAGGAAAATCAACCACAGTCTTGGCCAAGCCTAACTAACCTATTGATCTAGTTTAGAACTTAGATATTTGAGTAGAATGTTGAAGAATCATTACACCTTGCATGTGCGAATATCGATTACAAACCATTCTTCAGATTCAAACATTCTCTTATGAACATCGTGTTGTTTCTTACCGAGCAACTACATGTAAGGGACGCTACTCTGGTTGGACTGCTGATCATGCGTTCATGCATCGTTGCCACTTGCGTCGAAGTCTGTAGATCGAACCCAAAGCAGACGTGCGAGTTAACTCAATGGGATGTATGTTTTATCATTTTTTGTCTTCAACTCTTCGTTGTAACCTACTTTTTAGCGGAATTTAGAAAATATATCGAGACGAAAAGCTACTTGTAAAAATAATTAGTACGATCGCCTCTCTCGTGGTGTGCGTGTCTAAGTGGCGTGTTAGCTAAGCTGCAATGAAAATAGACCTGTAATGATATTATGTACTAGACAGTGATATTTCAATAGCTGAGCGAGGGCTCAGGTCGACGTGACCCTTCATTTTGTGACCTAATATAACGTTCATGGGGATCATGGTAGTCTATTCTCGTGCCAGTTTATTCAATATGTAACAACTTGCATCAAAGTTTATATACATCACATCCTGATAGTTAAAAGGTAACACAATCTTATAATTGTGAGTTCTCAACCCAGCTGTCATTTGTTTTCGTCACAATATTAACGTTATGTAATCATTTAAATCCCGGATGTGTTAAGATACAGAACGGACAAACTGGGTAGTGAACAAAACTGCAGGTGGCTGCATGGGACCAGACACTTGGACTCAACGCCCACGAGTTATTGACCTTAGACAGTCTTTACCGAGTCATGGCGGCATACATTAATATGGACAAACACCCCATTACTTTCCCTATAATGTTATCCAATTAGCAACACATTTCGCTATGGGACACTAAAAGCACTAACCGGAGCACACGTATGGTTTCTCCTGGGGGATATGGTTCATTCCTACATAATCAGTCCTGGTCTAGACGTCGTAACGAGTGCCATGCCTGCCACCGAGACAATGTCTCCATGCAGTATGTCAGTCATTATATTGAATATGATTAAAGTAATAAAATTGGATTCCCAATGATATACATTCAAACATACACACGCGCGCAAGCACGCACGCACGCAGGCAGGCACACACACACACACACACACACACACACGGCATATACTTATATTTTCGTTTTCCCATTTCCTTCGACAGTGATTAAGTTTGTACAATAGATAAGTTCAACACACACATCGTTCCATCGGACTAATTAACGCTCCGCTGACCGGGAAATACAATCTCGTATGCACGAGTGTAAAACAATATAATGATGCGTTTACATTTACATTCTGCGTAGATACTTGATTGGCGAATACCTATATGCACATACTGACATCTCGAGTTTTGACGTGCTCCAACTTGCAAGACAGTCGTATAGACGTAACTATATCTGCTTCCTGGTGTGAAGCTCGGCCAAGGTGACACATTCCTGTGCATAAACGTTTTGGTAATCTTTAATTATGTTTCATAAAATGTTTTGATATTACTTTTGTATTTAAGATCTATTTCACTTTGATCTTTAAAATATTCATTCATCAAAATCCGCATTTGTTTGTTATTACTGACTGGCTATAATTGATAAACGCTGTGATCACGCGTGCAGCACGTGGAAGACCAGTTTAACCTGACCCCGTATTTCGCTTGATACTGAAAGTTCACTGTACTCCACACGTGTACTATAGTGACTGTTGTTTTGTGTCTGGGGTATATCAGTTGTTATGACTATAGTGACTGTTGTTTTGTGTCTGGGGTATATCAGTTGTTATGACTGCAGGTCATGTTCACTGGTACATGTGTTCTTTTCACATGTAGTATCCTCAGCGTTATAGTGACACTTTCACTGTTTGTGACTGGATATTTCTGTAATCGGAGCTATGATTAATACACCCAGTGATTGACAACGTGAACATCGATCGATCGCCTCTTACATTCATACATTCTTACCCATCCCGTCAGACATGATACTTGTATACTTGTGTCACCCCCCTCTCCTGTTAGTAGACACCTTCCCTGTACACTCGTGTCAGCCTCACCCTCCTGTTAGACACCTTACCTGTACACTTAATTACTAGAGTTATTTGCCTAGTGTTATACAGCTGGTGGCGGTTTCGGAAACACTTAGTACCAGATAAAGCATTGTCTGAACGACCTACCCTCCCTGCTGCATACAAAGCATCGTCTGAACGACCTACCCTCTCAGCTGCATACAAAGCATTGTCTGAACGACCTACCCTCTCAGATGCACATAAAGCATTGTCAGAACGACCTATCCCCCCTGCTGCATACAAAGCATTGTCTGAACGACCTACCCTCCCTGCTGCATACAAAGCATCGTCTGAACGACCTACCCTCTCAGCTGCATACAAAGCATTGTCTGAACGACCTACCCTCCCTGCTGCATACAAAGCATTGTCTGAACGACCTACCCTCCCTGCTGCATACAAAGCATTGTCTGAACGACCTACCCTCCCTGCTGCATACAAAGCATTGTCTGAACGACCTACCCTCTCAGCTGCATACAAAGCATTGTCTTAACGACCTATCCTCCCTGCTGCATACAAAGCCATTGTCTGAACGACCTACCCTCTCAGCTGCATGCAAAGCATTGTCTGAACGACCTACCCTCTCAGCTGCACATTGTCCGACCTAACCCTCCCTGCTGCATACAAAGCATTGTCTGAACGACCTATCCTCCCTGCTGCATGCAAAGCATTGTCTTAACGACCTACCCTCTCAGCTGCATACAAAGCATTGTCTGAACGACCTATCCTCCCTGCTGCATACAAAGCATTGTCTGAACGACCTACCCTCTCAGCTGCATACAAAGCATTGTCTTAACGACCTACCCTCTCAGCTGCACACAAAGCATTGTCTGAACGACCTATCCTCCCTGCTGCATGCAAAGCATTGTCTTAACGACCTACCCTCTCAGCTGCATACAAAGCATTGTCTTAACGACCTATCCTCCCTGCTGCATACAAAGCATTGTCTGAACGACCTACCCTCTCAGCTGCATACAAAGCATTGTCTTAACGACCTACCCTCTCAGCTGCACACAAAGCATTGTCTTAACAACCTACTCTTTCTGCTGCATACAAAGCATTGTCTGAACGACCTACTCTCTCAGCTGCATGCAAAGCATTGTCTAAACGACCTACCCTCCCTGTAGCATGCAAAGCATTGTCTGAACGATCTACCCTCTCAGCTGCAAGCAAAGCATTGTCTAAACGACGTACCCTAGCTCTCTGCTAAAGCATTATCTGAGCGTCCCACGATCTCAGATGAATTTAATGCATTACCTGAACGTTACAGCCTTTCAGCTGAATCTGAACCATTGCCCGCATGTATTTCATAAAACCAAACCAAAAGAAAACAGAGTAGGTCTAGCCAGTTCTATTATGGTAACAGAGAGAAAACTATTGTGTAACAACTCAAGTCTTTAAAAAGATTATTTCAACTATAACTTCAGTGAATATGACATTCGACAAAGGCTTCATGACTTCATGAGCTCAGTGTTTGATTATACAAGACAGGGGTGTGTACAAAGAATCAACTTCTTTGTCACGGTCTGCCTCAGTGGTGCGCGGGACTGCCATCTGGATACCGTCTAGCCTTCCTCCTGACGGTGTCGAGCATACACAATTCGCACTTCATACTTGTTTATCACCTTCAGTTATATTTAAATCCTCAGGTGGGCGGGAACAAACAAGAGGGTTTTTAAAGTTTGAAATACCTTTGATAGGGTGAACGCAATTACCCCGATCAGCGTGTCAACACGGCATAACTTCCCCCTCTACATTTCTGACGAGTAGTTCTAAACATACTAGATCTATCATTCATTACACCAAAGGGGCGGTGAGGTAGCCTAGTGGCGTTCGCTCGTCACGCCAAAGACCCGGGTTCGATTCCTCACATGGGTACAATGTGTGAAGCCAATTTCTGGTGTCCCCCGCCGTGATATTGCTGGAATATTGCTAAAAGCGACGTAAAACTAAACTCACTCATTCATCAGATTGTTCATACGCGAATGCCCATTGCTTACAACGCATTCTATGACTGACATATTGCCGATGCAAGGTTCATTTTTCACTCACTCACTCACCCACTCGTGTAAGATGCTATAAAAATGGTTAAGTCGTAGCGGGTTGAGGGCGATAGGTTCTTGTAGACTGACTGATGCCGACCACAAGATCACGCTGTCGTGATGCATGGTGCTCGTGATTTCGTCCATTGGTCTATCTTATTAATTACATTCCAAACCATCGTGTTGTAGAAATTGTGGTATTCTGCTGACACGAAGGAGTGTGAGTGAGTTCGTATAGTTTTACGCCGCGTTTAGCAATTTTCAAACAATACCACGGCGGAGGACACCAGAAATTGGCTTCACACGTTGTAACAATGTGGGGAATCGAACCCAGGCCTTCGGCCCGACAAGCAAACGCTTTAACCACTAGGCTACCCCACCTCCCCCTGCTGACACGTATGATCTAGATATAACCTGAATAACAGTAACAATATCTTAAGGCATATGAGAGGCCGTTTAACTGCTTAACTGCAATAAATCAGGAATTTTGAATGTACTGACATAACGAATTCGATTTTTCAGTTGACACATTTATCAAAAAATGTATGCTTAGAAGTCACAGAAACGCATTATGTCTAAATATAAGAATTGAAAAATATTTATTGATATATATCGTATTCACATTTTGGTCGATTTATATAATGGCTACACACGTCACAAAGCTGTGTAAAGCTATTCCGTAACGATACTGTCATTGCTTGTGGTTTATTATTAAATATAATGTGTCCTGAGTCAACCTCCGTTACCATATTTCTGGCAACCAATTGTTGAATACATTTAACCTAGATAACCAATGCCAATCAAATATAACTTGGGCAGTACCCAAAATAAATGCGTGCTCCCGCTGCACAAAGATACGAGGACACCCCAGGTCATGTCAGGACGACCTTTTTGCCGACCAATCAGAAAGCCGCTTACAAGATCACAAAGATGGAAGTCATAGTGCGTTTTCTAATCACGCAAACTCGAAAATGTTAACACGAGGAATTCCGAACGACAATGATTGACTGTACGGTAGAGACTTTAAATTTCCAAGTATACCGCCATACAATCTCAGCAGTCTTTTAGGCATCGAAGAATTTTCTGTGGTTGGGAAATTTCGAATTGAGAATATTTTAGCTGAAGGGGTCGTTGTCGGCACAGGTACTACAGATACGTACCACAGGTACGTTTCTGTTACAGATATGTACCCTAAACAAAGTCAAAATACAGAAACGTACCCGGTACCCTAAAAGGCGGCCGAG